GCCAACCTTGTTTATTTTCACGATAATATGGAAAAGATTTCATTATATATTCATATATACCATTTAATGTTAAACGTTCATGTGCTGATGAACGTATAGCCATCATAATTAATGCATTATATGAATAAGCTGGTTTAACACCATATTTATTTCTAGGTGCTGGAGTTGTTGGTGTTGTTGGTGTTGTCGGTGTTGTTGTTGTTATTGTTGATGATGATGATGATGAAATTTGTTTTTCTTCTTTCACATTATTATTTTGACTATGAGTACCATCTGAACCAGATGTATGACCTAATGATGATTCACTTGATATAGATGGTGAAGATTTTTTCGTAGAAGATTTTATATGTGAATTTGATTCTTCTGTTTCAATATCATCATCTTCATCATATTCAGAATTATATATAGGTGGAGATGTACTACCAATATCAACATCTTCGTCATGGCGTGGATGATGATGATGATGATGATGATGATGATCTTCAGATTCATTATGGATTAGAGTTGAACGTTTTTTAGGTGATATTTCATGTTCATTTTCATCATTACTGTCATCACGTATTCGTTTTAATGGATTTGTTGACTGCATAGATGTATAAAATGAAACTGTTTTAGATAATTTTTCAATATTTGTTTTCTAAAAAACGCGTATTTAAAAAGAAAAAAAAAAGAAAAGTTGAATTTATTCTTTCTTTTTTTCTTTTTCAAACTTTACCGTATCATCTTCGCCAAGAACACTTCGAATTGAAAATGAACTATGAAAAACATGTTGCTGTTGTTGTTCGTTACCGTTTGTCATCGCGTAATTTGTTTTATTCTGAAATGTATGTAATACGAATAGTAATAATGTATTATTTCTTCTCTCTTCTCCTATGACGATGTGTCAGAAGTAACAGCCTGTTTGATCAACAAAAGACGATGCGCATCTCTTCTCTTCGAACGTTTTTTTTTCTTCTATTTGCATACAGAAGGAGGTGTTCGTGTTCATTATTTTTCCTTATTTTTTGGACCAATGTTGATGCAGCTTGCTATTAACATGGTTGGCCGGAACGAGAAAAGAAAATTGATTCTTTTTTCTTTCGTTTTTTTTTTCTTTCTTTCCTTCTTCTAACAGCCAATGTTTGTAAAACAGAACTTCTCTATTTTCACCAATAGAAAGAAAAAAAAAATTTGACCTTTTTTTCTAAATATATTTCATTGATATTTATTCATCTTCAAAAGATGTTTACGTTTCTATTGTCATCCTAATTGGCATCAATCTCTTTAAAAAAAAAATATCTCCAACGAACGACAACTGTCATTGATTTAAACCAGATTCAATATATATGTATGCAATTGAGTCGTTTTTGTTTATAGTCTTTGTATAACTATATTGATTGATCATTGTCGTTGCAGAGATGACGAGTCTATTTTAAGTAGAAGAGAAAAGATAATCTAACGAGTATGATCTATGCAAATTTCTTTATAAGTGTTTATATGCCAGATATACTGCTGTTACAAACTGATAATCATCCATTTTCGCGATGATGATGATGATGATGTTGTTTTTGCTTATATGATGTAGTGCAGTTATCATGAGAGTTGATCGAGTTTGCTTCCGTTACTCGCAAACAAACAAATAGACATTCATAGGGGAAAAAGAAAAAGTTCCGACACCAGAAACGGAAGACAGATACACACATACACACACATCGTCGGTATAAAAGTATCAAAAAAAAAACCGAACAATTATGGGATAAAAAAATAGTGCGCATGTTCCGGAAATGAAATGGAGTAGAGAAAAGTCTATATCATTATTTCACTCGTCATCTCTAATTAGTAGATTTGAAATGAGCACCTGCACTCTCGAATATTATACCTAATTTTACTACTCACTTAATATGAAAATCATAATGAAAATGAGTCAAGAGAAAGGAAAAAAATAACAAGTCGGTGAAAAAAAAAAAATATATATATACATGAGTCTGTACCCTCCATCACGGTGATGTTTACGCAGTTTGGAATGTTATATGTATGTGTATATGTTGAGTTGAAAAAAAAAAGTAAGAGTAAAAGACGACGTCAATCATTCTGACAGTTTATTGTTGTAAGACAGCGCATGATGAAGAGAAAGCTTAGATGCCTTGAAAAAAAAAGAAACGATTCGACCCTCTCTTTTGTGTCTACGTGCTGGCTTGCACTATTACCCTGATGACAACAAGGGAGTAAAGAAGTAATATAGATAAAGAACATTTTTTTCATTTTTTTTTGACTCATGACTTTCGAAAAAAATGTATTACGTCATTTTTCATAAACAAAATGTACACATAGAGAAGCTTGAAAGTAAAAAAAAAGACTAACAAATTTATCATTTTTCAACATATTGTTATTATTATTATTATTAAATCGTGCTGCGTAAATCATCAAGGATGAGATATATACATTGTTGAGTATGTCAACGACACGACATGCTACATTAATTTTCGATAGAAATCTACTGCCAGTCGTTCTATGTTGTGATTAGCTTAAGGGTGTCGACAAGCACACATCTATCGAAGAGATAATGATGAGCATTTTCTCTACTTCTTTTGCTTGAATGATTAGAAAAGCAACACATACGCACATATCTTAGCAGCAACCATACAGGAAAATTTGTTCATTCAACCATTGTATGTCTGTTTGTCTCAACATAATTTGCTCAATTTTGCTTCTTTTTTTTTTTCAATGGACAATGGTATACGTGAGCGCGTGTCCATTTTTGTCGACATATTCACACATCACAAAAGCGATTAGTGAAACAACTAGTATACCTTTTGATCTAACCTCGATTTGACATGATCATAATGGATGGTGTATGTTAGATACTTCACAATACAAAAAAAGAAAAAAAAACATAAGAGATATTCATTTTCGCTTCATCAAATTTCAATGGTTAACTGACATTTTCACCTGACAAATTGTTCAAATATATGAGATTAAGAGTAAGCACAAGGACATAATAATCATAATTGAATAGTTGTTGAAATTAGAACTAATCAATATAGGATGACAAGCTTAAATCATCTTTTTTTATACCGCTTTTACTTTGTTCTTAGTTTAAAATCTAACAACAATGAAATATAATTATTTGCTCCTAAAACAAATCAATCTTATTGCACAGATGTTATTCTTTTACTATATAAACGATATTTCAATCAAAATTTTTTTTTTTTTTTTTTTTTTATAAATGATTGTGTCGGCACCAGATTTTATCAATGATGAATGTTACATAAAGAAGAAGAAGAAAAAGAAATAGTTCAATGATTGACATATCTAGATATAAAATGATTATGTTTGACCAACTTAATAAATTAAATATTATAGCCAATTTTATAGCTATTAAAATTGTAAAAATGTTATTTTATATCTTGTTGATACAAGTAAAATGTCAGTTTATTTTTAGATTTTATCAGGAGAAAAAAAAGTAAATAAACGAAAATTCATAATGTTATTCTTTTTTTTCTTGTTACTTAATGCAATTATTTATTATAAAAACAGGAATCTTTGATAAGAATATATGTATAAAACATAGAAAAACAATTTACTCATGTAAAATAAAATTAAATCGAGATTATAAAATAAAAATATCAGAAAAAATATTGAGTATTTTTTTTCATTAAGGAAGATATTTACTTTAGATTATAATCATTAAAAGATTTTACTCAAATTATTTGTCTATATTTAATAAATCAACTGTTCAAGATTTTTATTTCTTTCTTCTTTTTTTTTTGACTAAATAGTCATTAATGATTCGACAATGAAAAACAATATTTTTCATAGCATGATAATGTTAAGCTAAAATTTGTTTTAGATCTCATACCTAAAACATTGAAATCTTGAAAGCTAAAGAATTTAATGGTAAAATTTCAAAAGGATTTGTTGATGTTTGTTTTTATATGTTGTTTCAAAGACACTAATATAAAATAAATCCTATTTAATAGATTTCATTCTTGACTATTCTAAATTCGAATTAGTTATTTTATTTTAGGATCAAATTTGTATCGCTGGAATGATTGTTCCAGTTTTTTAAAAGATAAAGGCCATTATTCATATTATAAGATTTATATTACCTATCAGAATTTAAAAGAAATTATTGATTAATAAATTATAGCTCTAAGAAAATTTTTAATAAATTGTTCTAGAAAATTATGTGCACGATTTACTGTCCGTTGATTCTTTCGAAGAAGAGAAATGAACAGATGAGTAGACTTTGCGACAATCAATGTATTACTACTAGAACAAAAAAAAAAACCAAAAAAAGTTTTCCAAACATAATATAACACTATGGACTATTAATTGTTTGGAAGGTCAACATTCTGGAATGAATAAAAAAAAAAAAGTAAATTCTCTACATCCAAACATTTACATTGCGATTGATTTATTGTACAAAAGAACAATCTTTAGCATCAATTGCAAGAATACGAGAGATGACATGGAAGCTCCAACTTCAAAACATCAGAAATCTAAAGTCATAACAGATAGATGCCTAATAAAATTGTGGCAGTGTTATGATAAAGGTTGTTTAAAAACTATTCGATCGAGATATTTTTAATGTTCATCTAAAAGTTAAACAACTAACTCTCTTTATTTTTGTTGTTTATTTGTATATTTATTGGAATTTTTTTTTGCTTTGACAATACCATGATTGTTGCAATGTCTACTCATTTACTCATCTCTCTTCTACTAAATAATCAACAGGAAGTAAACCCGTGGACAGTAAATCGTATAAATTCTAGAAAACAACTCTAATGTTTAAATTTGTCCATGTAGATTAGCGTCATCTTTTTCGAAATTCATTAATAGGTTTGCTATAAATAACCCATCGTTCGAGTAAACGAGTAGTAGTAACAGAAAATAAACAAGCATGTTAAAAGCAAGTACAAAATAATAATAAAAAAATGTTATAAACTTCTGAAATATTTCCATAATTTCTTAAAAGTTGTATTTTTAGAATACTATATTTCTTTAATCTACATTGAAAAATGTTAAAAGGTTTAACGTGGCAAACGCTGAGAGCGAATTATTCATTAATACCACTTTTTTCCGTCGTTACACTTGGTGTGGTAATGGCAGCTGGACATGCATTTCGTAGTCTAGCTTTTTCACCTGATGTTAAAGTGAATCGAGGTAATCCTGAACGACCATGGGAAGCACATGTCAATAATGATGGTTCATTTAAACATGCAAAATATGTTAAATTACATGATTATCGTAAATTAAAAAAGAGTGAATATGAACCAGAACTCGACGAGTAAATAACATAAAACAATCCATCCTTAACGAATTTCTTTTTTTCAACTTTTCTCCCATTATTATTCTTCGTAGAAAGCACTGATTATGAAAACTTTCCTTAACTGTAGATCCGTTCGTTTGTTTTCTTGTGTTTAAACAGAACTAGTTTATATCCATACTTTCGTTTTTGTTCTTGTCACCATATTTCCCTGGTTTTTTTTCTGATAAAAAATAAACGACAATAACCTTAATAATTTGTTGTTGATTTTTTAAATGTTGTTTTTAATTGGATAGTTAATCACCTAGAGAATAAGTAACTATATTTCATTTTATTGATCTTGCAAAATAATTTATTGAGAATTTCTTTTGTTTATTAAGATGATTTTAAGGAATACCAATATATACAGAGAGAATTCGTAATGGAACATATAGGTAAAATATTTCAAATAATTTTTTATATTTATCTGACTGTTTTTTTTTTATTTTAGTAATATATATATAAGGCTCAATGTAAAATCAAAAAAAAAAAGAGTAAATCTCTGCCATTGAAATATGTATTAGTAGGTGAGTCAAAATGATTGTAACATGGAATATATTACGAATATCTCAACACAGACAAATTCTATAATCTTGACTGGTTTTTTTAAATTAAAAGATGCACTGTCATATTCTCTGGAATAACGGCAACGAAGAATCCTATTGAATTGTTTTAAGGTTCCCCTCAAAAAAAGTCACGTTTCATCAGAATGATCGAAATTAAGATAAACACAGGGGAAGATAACTCGTGATCTGATCGCTCATAAACGACAAAAATTTTTACGCAGTACCTCATTTTTTCTCAGTTCATGATATGTCAAACGTGCAACCCAAATTTCTCAGTCCAGATCCATGTGATGTATTTAAATCTTCTGTCTGTTTGAAAGAGTACGTCAAGACGCAGGGTACTACAGAGTCCTGCTTTTTTGAAATAAGCTTTTTTATAACAATATAAAAAAATACTTCTATAGAAACAGCGCCATTTTTTAGGAGTTTTCAAAGTCATTGAACTTGTAATGCCTTCTTTCCGCTTAAAAAGTAAGAATTTAAAAAAAGAACTTTGTGATACCCTGCATCCTGACATGCTCTTTCAAACAAAAAGAAAATTTAAAAACGTCATATGGACCTGGACTGAGAAATTTGGGTTGCGAAATTCGCTATTTTTGACTCTTGTTTGGTCAATATCTCCCTCAGACGTCATGATATCGGACTGAAAAATTCACCGTAGCTTTTCTACAACAGCTCCAACATATCCTGAAAATTTCATATCATTTGAACATTTCTGGGCTGAGATCGATTTTTGAGGAGTCTTAATAATTTTCTTATAAGGTTAAAACTGAGATACTGTGTCATGGTTAAATGTTCCATTATTTTGAAAGAAATGAAAATGAAAATGCAAATGAAAATGTAATTGACTATCTTGGATATGTCTCACTACTGATGAATCATAAAACATCAAATCATTTTTTTTCTATAACATGGATCGTGAAATTCTCTAATACTTTTGCATGAAAGGGTCTTTTTAATTATACTGACGAAGTTGTTAAATGATAAAAGCTGAAGATCTTCGCGATGTTATTATTGTCTATTATTACAATGGAAAAAAAAAGTTTCAGAAATGTCACGTACCATACCTAAAGATCGGTGGCTTTATAATTCATTGGACTGAAACTTATTAGATTACTCTACCTGGAACCATGTTAATGACAACATCGAGAATCAAAAGGTCAAAAGATGAGAAGATTTGAAGAAACAAATAAATGAAGTATATCGAAACATTCTTTTTGAGTTGTGTTTGCAAGATGATCGGCTCTTTTTTCTTCAGACGTTTTTTTATAAAGTACATCATGCAAAAATTGACTTGAAATAAAAAGAAGAGTTGTTTTTTTTGTTTCTCTCAAAATAATGGAACATTTGACCATCACTCACTGCTTCAATTTTAGCGTTATAAGACAACGATTAGAATAATGTAATGGGATTTTTCATTGCCTGGTTTTTTTTAAAGACTTTGATGGCACATTTTTTGATAAAAAAATTCAATGATATAGAGTTTGTTGGTGTTGAGATATTTGCAAAACATCTGATGTTGCAATCATTTTGACTCATATGGTAATACATAACCAACAAGAAAAAGGCTTTTCATCAACATTATTACATAAAATCGTTTTTTTTATTACCAAGCTTTATACATAAGAATATTGTTCAACTCATGCCTATAAAAAAAGATTTTCAAATATATCATCTACATAAATTCATATATATTTGAATATCTCAAACTGATTAAAATAACTGTGACAGAAAATTTAAATATTTGTGACTTCAATTATATCTTGAATAATAAATGAAATATACTTATTGATAAAGATCATATAGTATTTATTGATTGCAATAGAATATAATCGAATTCTCGTATTGTTTTTATCTGATATTGTTTTGGCTAATTCTTGATTGCGGACACTTTTTTCTGCCAATTAAGAAAAAATGACCGCAAAGCAGAATCGGGGGGGGGGGGGGGGGGAGACACAAAAATGACCGCAAATTGGAAAATGTTCGCATAATGATATCAATACACTAATTTATTAGAAAAAAAAGTATGATAAATGAGAAGAAAAAAATATCCTATATGAAAAGAGAAGAAACATTTAACATTGTTTAGGTATATAATCTAGGTCATCTTTTCCAGTTTCAGCAAACACCTTGATATATCGATAACAAAGCGAACGTAGTAAGTCGTTCAGGTACATCAATAGTTGATAATGATTTTGGTATTGGTGGATGCTGGGACGAGCGATATTCGTATAATGATGATTTAATACGATCAAATACTGGAACTGCAGCTGCACTACCATTTTCTTTTCTAAATTTGTTTACTTGTTGGTCGTATAACAATGATACTGTTGCTGTAGGTTCTTCTTCAATCTTTCGTTTGATGGATGTGATGCACTCATAAACATTTAAAGCCATTTTTTGTGGATGTTCAAATTCATGATTTCCATCAGCTTTTATAAGCGATGTTTTTATAATAGCACCTTCATGTATGGTGATGGTGGAATTACATAACTTATGTGTACATATCCAAACTTGACTTCCATCTTTTTTGGTCCGTCGCAAACCAAAATGATAGTTTTTAAATACTATTGCTTTATTATCAAATTGCGTGGTAATTTCAGAAAAGGTATTATCACTGACGATAGACATTCTGGTTTAATTCATTTTACTTCATTTTGTTCACTTTTTATACTTTATTTACAAGAGCATGCCCAAGAATGACCTGGACAACACGTGACATGCATCACTAGGCTATTTCTATCAAGATAATATCCGTCTGAAACAAGACATCTGTGCTGACTATCTGCTTGTAATTCTTTTCACTTGTTTTTATAATGCGGACATTTTCCATTTTGCGGTCATTTTTTTCTCTCCCCCCTGGATTCTGCTTTGCGGACATTTTTTTCCTCCAATTAAGAAAAAATGTCCGCAATCAAGAAGACGCGATTGTTTTATTGAAAAAGTTCAACATGTCTTATCTGTCAGTTTTAGAATGAAGAGTGATCTTGTTAATAAACAGTTTGGATAATGTTTTTCTCTCCATTATACTTATTTATGTAAATCTCGAAATTAATATATCATCTTGAATATTCTTCATTTTCCTTTAATTAACATTAAAAAAAAAATACAATTTCCTACTCTTCAATTAACATACACGTTCATGTCGACAAATTTGCATTCGATGTTATTTATTAACAAATTACAAGTTTTCTATTTTAGGAGAAAATCTTTTTTCAGAAACAACTTTCATATAATATTTTAAGTTTGTCATCATCTTTTAATTGGTATGTTAGAAAATATTAGATGATTAAAAAAATTAATTTATTGCTTGTTATTTAGTATATTTTATTTGTATATATTTTTATCTATTAGTCTTTATTTTATTCGTAGTAATAAAATTTTTTATCAACATGTTCTGATATACTTGAACTTATCGATTTCTATTTATCTGGAATGACGAAACTATCAAAGCGTAAATAATATGATTAATAATAGATTCTATTTTATTCTTATTCTTTTTTTAATTTTCAATAAACCAGAAAATCTACATAGAGCTTGAGCCGTTTCATGATCGTACATATATAAAAAATTGTTTTAAATTTTTAATAAGAAGAAATTTTCGTTTATAGATATCGTGCATCAAAGTTATTACTAGACAATAGATGAGATTTATTGATTATTCCAAAGGAGAAGAGGATCAGGAAAAAAACGTACATATTATTCTAATTACTATAAACAATTGATACTATATTCTTGTATTAGGATAGTATGTTCTTTGAAGTATTATTTTATGTATTTTTGGATAAATTTTTATATCTACAAACATTAAAATATGAATAGTTTTATTTATAACTAAATTTTACTCGTTGGTCGATGTGAAATGAAAACGACAAGTCAAATCTGTCATACAAATATTATATGTAGACTGTACTAGAGATACTTTTCAATGCTTTTATGAAACTAGTAGAGTAGTAAATCGATAAAGTTTCCCAAGACATTCAAAAATTATTGAAGAAAAAAAATTAATGAAGTTCATAATGTTTGTGAAACTGAGCCAGTATTGATTATTTGGGCTGTTGTAACAGCCTGTTTAATTTCATGAACATTAGCATACTGAATTACTTCTAAGGAAGACATACAAAGAATGATTTGTCCAGTAAACTCACAAAAAGAGATTCACAAGATCGAGTTGAAGTCGTCGAAGTTTGATATTAACGTTTGAGAACATCAATAAACAAGAGAATTTTTTTTTCGAACAAAACTACTTTTCATTTCAATGGTTTCTTGGTTAAAATATAAATTGAAAATCAATGTGTATAAGACATATATGATAAGTGGTGAAAAGTTTGTTTTGGTTTGCTTCTCGAGTTATCAACGCGTCACTCAAGTTTTGCTCTATGAGTATGAAATCACTAAGAACCTAGATAACCGAGTTTTGAACTGAAATTTTGTCCATACATAGGGCTTATAGCCACTAGAAACTCTTCAAAGTTTCAGCCAGAATGAACGTATTTGTGCCAATATATTTACATTTTAAATAAACTCCTATTTTGAGTTGTGCTTTAACACAAGGACATTTCCATGACAGACTGATGTCTCAATAACAATACATTTGTCATAGCTCAAAATCCGATTATAGAGATTTTTTCTTGCTCACTATGATTGATTGAAATAGCAACAATTTCAAGTGAAAAGCTATTTGACAGTGAGAAACATTCTCTTGTAAGTTTCAAGTAACTTTCGCAATAATCTTTTTATATTGTTATCCATCTATTCCTTAAACCAATTGTTATAAACAATTTGGCGTACCACTTTATGATATTCACTAAGACAAAAAAGAAAAACAAGTAACTTCTTTTCGTTTATTAGACAAATACAATTGTTGACAATACTGCTCGTTTGTATCAATTTATTTCAAAGAAAAGATTTTATGAGGAAATTCACAAAGAAAAAAAAAAAAGGAAAGAATCTCTTTATTTTTTTCATATGTTTATTTATTGAGAAGACAATGAACTTGTGAAAGTAAAATATATTAAAAGCATGATAATTAAAAGGAAGTAAAATGGAAAAAAGAAAGAATATTTTTCTTATTGATCACAAATATATGTTGGAAAATATTTTATCAGTTTTTCTTTTTTTAACTATCAAAAAAACGTAAAAAATCATATAAATTGATTTTTCCTTCACTGTTTGTCGTACATTCAGCAATCATCTAAATAAAATAAAAAAAAATTATAATACATTGTTTTCATGTCTTTATTTTTTTTACCGCATCAATAAGATCATTTTCAAGTGGTAAATTAATTTGACGAAATATATCTACGATATTTTCTCGAGCTATAAAACCATTTCGATCTTTATCATAACGTAAAAACATTTGTCGAATTTCTTCATGATTTGTTATACGCATATGTTTTAATTTATTACGTACTTCAGCATATAAACGTATAAAATCACCTGGTTTACGTTGTATATGTATATTTGTAGTAAGACGTGCATCTGGTCGACCAGTTTCATTACTTAAATGTTGTCGTAATGATTCAATAACAGTTGGTGTAAATTGTTCAGGATGTTCTTCAGCATATTTTAATACAAATAAATCAGCTGAACGAATTATAAAACGTTGACGAAATATTTCAATAGTTGCACCAATATAAAAATCAGATGGACCATAAAATTGAGGATGTTCAAGTGAAGAACCTTGTTTTTTTTTTGAAAGAGAAAAAAAATATTAATTTTATTTTTTTTTGTTTCTATTAAATTCACCTGGTTTTGATACACGTGTTCGTTCAAGAAATCGTCCACCAATAATACCTGAATTACGTTGAGGTGGTTCATAAACACTAATTGTATCATCACCAAGACGATAACTAATAATAAATTTACGTAATTTATCATCTTCACGTGGACTATCCTATTTAAAAAAAAAATGATATTTAAAATAAAATACACAAAAAATAGTTTCGTACTAAAACAGCTTCATAACGAAGTACGCGATGATCATTTTCCATTAATTTAACATAATCTTTTTTCGGTCGTTCAGGTTGAAGACGTAAACAATTTTGCATTGAATCTTCTATTGATCCAAATCCATTATATGGAGGAATTTCCTAAAATCATATATACTTTTTTTTCTTTAATATCAAAGAGATAATATTTTAAATTTTACCATTTTAGCAAATTCATTACGTGTTTCTTGAATATTAATTGGTTCAAATGTATTAACACCAAAATTTTTTGCATAAAATGTTTTCGTAAAAACATCACAATCATATATATGAAAATTTCGTCCATAAATATTAACAGTTTTTCCAATCATGAAATCCGATGGTTTAAAATAATCAGTCACTTCAGTATCAGTTAATTCAAGAAATACATGTGGAAATGTGCCTAAAAAAATCATATCAAAGAAGGTTCATTATTGTTTTGATTTACATGAATTTCATTTTCATTGACTAACACTCTGAAACTATTCGGAGTGCATTTATATTATTTAAGTGCTCTGCAAGATTAGATACAAAAAATCAATAAGAAACATCAACATTAAATAAGAATATACAAATTTTCAATTGAATTGTTTTTTTTTTTACTTTGGTAATTGACTGTCCAACAGGATATTGATAAAGTCTGAACGTAGAAAATATGTGAATGGATGGATCTACTCTCAAATCATACATAAGAAAATCTATTGATCAATGTGGGCGATACTCAAATAATTAAGTTAATATTATTGTTCATCATCAGTTTAATAGAATCTATCCTAGTGCGGAAGTGTCCATAATTTGATTTAATCTTCTTACTTTAAAATTCTATATATAAGAATTTGTTCTGTTATTAGACTAACCTTTGACATCATAACGATCTTTAGGAATTTTATGACGTGTAATAAGTACAGGAAATGGATCTCGACCATCATTAGCTTTATGTACTTCTCGTACTTCCATTGTATCATTAACTAAAAAATATTGAATAATAAATTCTCTTTTTTCACCAAACATTTGTGATCGATCATCCCATATAGCATAAAAACGTAAAACTTTTCGATCCATTTCAACATATTGTTTAAGTTTATCGAAATCACTTCTTGTTTTATATGTTTTAAGTTCAGCTGCTTGTTGTCGTTTTGTTAAATATGGATCACGTGGTATTAATTCTGATTGATTTACATGAATACCTTCACTTTCAAGCCATTCCTAAGATAAATTAAATAAATCAATAAAATATTTCTTTAAAGATAGACTTTGTTTTTTTTTTTTTTGTTCTTACTCGAGTAAAAGCATCACAATCACATATACGAAATACTTTTCCATAAACAGCTAAATTTTGTCCAAGATTAATATCACGAAAATTATATGTTTCACCTTGATCATTTTTTGGAAAACGATGACGACGAATTAATTTACCTTGTGGAATACCACTATTTTCTTGAACTTCTTCAAGTATTTCTAAACTATCATCTTCAAGATAATAAAGAATTTTAACTGGTCGTACACGATAATATTCATTTGGACTTTCATGAATTGTTTGTTTAAAATAACCAAAATAACGAAGAACTTTTTTATCAAATGCTAATGTAGCTGGAACAAATTTATCCGGTGTTTCAACAACTGCTTTACCATATAAAAGTTCTGGTCGATAATTTCGAAGAAGTTCTAATTCATCTTCACTAATTTGATTATAATTAATACGTGTACCACCTGAAAATAAACAATGACTATCATAAATAAAAAGATCAAAAAAAAAAGTATTTATTCAAATCTGTTTAAATTAATCTGATTAATATTTTTCCGATCGTTTATCCTTTACAGTTGAATTATTCTGTAGAATAAAATCGCATCAAAACTACGTTAGAAAAAAAAATATTCTGCTGTTCCGACTACTGTGTTGTGGACGTGTCGATTTTCTTTTGCGAACTTTATCTGTACGAATATTAACTTTAGATATACAATTAATAGTTTTGCATAGTATTTGATTCAGATTTTCTCTTTTGGAAAGGCAATTTAAAACTCAAAGGAGGACAAATGCTCAATTTTTTGAGAATATGGATACATTGTGCATGGTACCATAACAACAAAATTCGGGAAGACTAAACTAAGCTTCGGAGGGATACCGACCTATTGGTACCTACGTTAATTAAAACATCGGTTTTTTCGAATAATTAATAGAATCATTTTTCTCTTACCTAACCCTACTTGAGGCCATTTAGTAACTCGATGACCATTTTTTACATCGAGCGTGTGACTGACATGAAAATTAGTTTGCTAAAATATAAATATTTGCATTTTAATAGAAAAAACCACATAAAAATAACATCTATCAATAATACACACTGTTGGATCACGAAATGAATTTCCTGGTAAACATGGTAGTCCTTCCATTTTTCTTTTATTTAATACTCGTCGCCTAGTTGTCAAGAGGCACTAACAAGTGATATTGTTGCTATTCTGTTTGTCTTTCTTGTTCCGTTTGATGGCAACTTTTTTTAATCTTGGTTACCTAGTAACATCCATCGAAAATTAGTCTTATTGAAATTTTTTAATTTTAAATTACGTTAAAATATTCTTATTATTACTTGAATAATCTTCAAGCAAAAAAAAGGAGTAAATAATCAAATATATATTACTCCTACGCATAGATGTCGTACGAATCAATTATCTTTTTAAAAAAAAATATATATATATATATATATAGGATGACGATTGTTTAATGAAATTTCGCAATTACTAAACTCATGAAATTTTGTAATAATTAAACTTACGAAATTTCTAACTAATACGATGTAATATCAATAATATTTAAGAGAGTCTTATTCCTAGCAGAGTTCGTACAACAGTTTTATTTTACTAGCTACACAACTAAAAAACATGCAAATCTTTGTTCGCGGCACTGCCAAATTATTGGCATTCGATGTTGAAAAAGATGATACCATTCAAGATGTTTATGTAAGGTTAAATCATTTTAGAATTCTATATAAATAATATAAATATTATAGGAATATATTGCTCAAGAATCTGGTTATGCTATAAATGATATTTTATTGAGCTTACATGGAACACCATTAAATAATGAACAAACAATCGAAGAATTCGATCTTGTTTCAGGTACAATTATTGATGTTAATGTTAAATTATTAGGTGGAAAAACTCATGGACGAATAAACCACGCTGGTAAAGTTAAAAATCAAACACCAAAAGTAAGTATTCTATTCATAAGTCATGATAATCTGTAGTATGATTATTAATTTTATTTTTAAAAGGTTCCTCAAACAGAAAAACCAAAAAAGAAAACTGGTCGTGCTCGTCGTCGTGAACAATATGCACAACGTTTCACCAGCAAAGTTGGCTCACCGGAAGGATTCCGCCGTGGACCTAATTCAAACTACCGACTACCTGCTTCTTCATAAATTATATTAACAAGATCCTTTTTTTTTGACGCTATGTAGAGTGAGACGTTTTATTTTATTAATAAAATTCATATTTCTCATCATACGGAGTGTATGATCTGAGAAGAATTATTCTCAGAGAATGACAATCTAAAGTCTCTGAAGAATTGCACAATTGTTTTATGTAGCGATGTTACGAGCAGGGAATAACTTGCAAATTTTGAAAAAATTTCATTTTTCTCTAGCTGATGCTATTGCTTTTTAGGCTCACCAATTCATAAGAAAAACTCTCAAACGTTCTTCCTCGGACAAATCAATCAAATTTAACAAAAAAAACTTTCAATCGGACTCTTGAATTTTTGACCCTTGCCTAAAACCTGGCAATCTCAAGTGATATTATATGACCATAGTTTATGTCTTGAATTTGTTCTCTATATAAATTTTATTGTCAACAACTGTTATCGAGCGTTATCTATCAAAGAAAATAGATGTCACTTTACTTGAATTCTATTTTTTTTCTCAATGTAATTCTTAATTTAATAATTATATTCTCAATAAAAAATATTAATATATTCAAAAAACAATCATTATTTTATATACATATAGTTGTTTATTCCATAGAGTATCCAATGGCAAATAGTTTTTGAAATAATAAATAGTTATTAGTTCATCAAACCATCTTACGAAATTTCTTTTTTTTTTGTTTAAATACATCGTAAGACATGTGTTTATTTACTTTAGATTGTTCGTCGATTTTTGCTTTTATTATATTGAAAAACAATCATGCAAATTTTTGTTCGTGGTGCTGCTGAGCTTTTACCGCTCGATCTTGAAAAAGATGATACCGTTCAAGACATTCGTGTAAGGTTTTCTTTTCTTCATAATTGAGAATTAAAAATAAAAATATTTCTTCGATTTTTCAGGAATATGTCGCTGAAGAATATGACATTGATGTGGATGAACTTTTATTAAGTTACAATGGAACGCCATTAAATGACGAACAAACTGTTGAACAATTTGGACTTGTACCAGGTTCAACACTTGATGCTACTATCAAATTATTTGGTGGTAAAGTTCACGGTTCATTAGCTCGTGCTGGTAAAGTCAAAGGTCAAACACCAAAGGTAATAGAGAGACTTAACTATTTATTGAATAAAGAAAAAAAAAATACAATGATTGGAATTTTCTAGGTTGCTAAACAAGAAAAACGCAAGAAGAAAACTGGTCGTGCTAAACGTCGTCTTCAATACAAGCAACGATTTGTTAACAAGGTTGCTACATTTGGTCGTCGTCGCGGACCTAATTCAAATCAACAAGCTGCATCGTGAGAATTGATCTAAACACATACACCCACACAAAAAGAAACAAACATCTGCTTCATAACTCCTGATTTAACTGATATTAATGTGATTCTAGTTAGCAGCTATATACCATCACAAGCAGATTGAAAATATATTATTTTTGTTTCTGAATAAAACACCGCAAAAAGAATCAGAAGCGAAAATCATTTTTTGTTTTTTCCTTATTCATTAAACATTTTCTATAACGAGCTTAATTTTAATAAGAAAACAACATATCAATACATCATCATTTAATAGAAATCTTTCGATTATTATAAATACATTTTATGGTATCATGTAATTGAATTTACTGATGAAACCAATCAATTATTGTAGTTTAGAAAGCATAATTATATACATACTGAAGTTGAATAATTCTAGAAAGTCAAATATATAATTCATTCAAACTGTCTGATCAGTACAAATATTGTTCAGGTATTTTTGTTTAGCTATTACTTTATTATATTCAAAAAAAAAAGTTGAAAGTTCATTTCAAACTTATGTTGATGATAATATAATATGCACTACTTAATAGATTATCCATTATAAAAACTGTTATCTTATTTGTCGTTTTGCTCATTTAAGCATTGCGAGAAGTTTTAGTAAATAAAATTTATTGACGAGGATCTGTATCCAATATAATATCATTATTTTGAATATAATTAATACGTTTTAGCCATGATGTACTCATAGAAAACCAACAGATTTGTTGTGATGATTGATTATTTGTAGTTTAGTTTTTGTTTTATATGGATTTGTTAGATAAATATGATTCATGATGTGAAGTGTTTTTTCTAATATGAAATTTTCGATTAGAATTTTTCTTATTTCATGACCAAGAATGATTATTATTCAGAATTGTATGCAACAATGAAGGTTTTGAATGATTATCAATGAAGTTGTCCGTTAGAAATAAGTATTTGTTTTCAAAAGGAAAAAAACCATGTGGATCAAAAACAAATGAAAAATATACAGGCCTACTTTTTAAACGACCTAAAAATAATTTAAATGAGTTGTATAATTAATTTAATATATCTGTTTGATAATTGAATATAAATAACCAAATCTTTGTTTGGAATTATTGCGTACAATATAATCTATTGAAAAAGAGGTTAACAATGATCATTTTGATTATTCTATTTCTACTAATATTTTGAATGATCTGTTTCATTAGTAAATGAATTTCTTTTAAATTTATATATCCTATCGTTGTATCACAAGAAAATTGATATACTAAATATCATACAGCTGATACGTTAAGTACAGTGGCTGACAAAATTTTTCAATTTTTTTCACAGCTTTAAATTTCGTCGAAATAATTCAAACATAGAATCTCTATCATGATATAAAATACGATAAAAAGAAAGAAATCAAATAAACTTGAAGATTTTGTTGTATGTAAAGAAGCGAAAATAGATAGTTTCAATTTTTTAGGACATATAATGACATTAATGAGAGAAAGACTTATGTCTAAAATATTTTCTCATCAATGCTTGCATCGAATTTTAAAGTAGTGTTCTGTACGGATACGACTTTTCGCAACGGGACCCGAACCGGAGCTGATCGCCATACGATAGATGTTTTCACAGGCACAGTAGGATTTTCAAACTTTTATTTTATATGAAAAAGTATACTATCTAGGTTCTGCCGTAAACAACAATAAAAAAGAGATCGTCTCAAATTTCATAGAGAAGCAAGTGATTCAGGATTCATTTTATATCTTTCTGCTTCTGTAATCCAATCAATCTCGCTAAGTATACGTATGTTTGTTGCTGATGATGCTGGATTGGAACATAGTGTTGATGCTAAACGTCGTAATTGACGATACATACATGAAATACTTTTTTCATCACGATAGTACATATTTACTTTTTTGATAATTCATTTTCCTCTTCATGTATTTAGTTACTTCATCATCTGTGGATGAATTTTCATTAAAAACGTACGATTTCAGTAAAATAATATCGTTTTCTGCTTCTGTAACTTGTTCTCAAGTACAATAAATTACTCAATTGTGATCGAGTCGATTTTCACTCCTATGCTTTAATATAAATTAGTAGTTTGGAAAAGTAACAATATTTAGAAATGTCGGAAGCTCATTAATTGTCGGGTCAGGTCTGAGTATGAAATCATACTCAGGATCTGGACCATTGCTTCGCGCCGGATACCGAATACCCGACCCGGTTGCAGGACACTATTTTAAAGTATGTCTTTGTACGTCGTTATTCATAGATTTTTTTAATGATCTATCATGTTTTGAACTATGAAAAGAAGAACATTGATAAATAAATATAACAAATTGTAGCGATTAATTTATCATTTTTTATTAATTACTGTAATTGCGATTTTTATGAAACGGCTAAATATAGAAAAACTTATTACTTCCACTACTAATCGTATATAGTCAGTTTCGTTTATTTTTTCCGCAAAAAAAATCCAAACATCAATCAATTAAAAATTTCAAAAGACGCTCTTTTATCTTTCTACACATGATTATTAAAAAATCAACGATTCCTGTCAAAATTTTTCAAACATGCAAAAGTCATTATCGATATTAACGCTTATGACTACTTTTACATATGAAAGACTCGAATCGATTCATGAGAAATAATTGAACATGGAAATCTACCATTGAATTAGAATATATCATCTAATAAGTTAGAAAAACCTTTGAGACATTACTTTGATCGATGAATGAATCTATCAAAAGGGAAAAAATTACTCACTCATATGACACCGTTTTTTTCCTTCTGAAAACTGAACGTGATATTTCACAACAAATGATGCCAAATTTGATTGATTTCTAAGAAAAGTTTTCCTTCGTTTTATATTGAAGTAATGAAGTGCTCATAGCACTCTTCAACATTCGTACCATAGGTGTCTCACTTAAGAGTCTATATAGGCTTAAAGTTTCAGAGATGAGTAATCAGTATGAGAAACTTTTCTCGTTAACATTTCAGTCAGATAGATCAAACTAGATTGAAATTTTGACTTACTCATAGTCCATTGATAACCTTCAAGTGAACTTCCAATGCTCTGTCATTATAAGAGTTATTGAACTAGAGTAATTTCAAATTAAAATCAACATCTAAACGCAACTTTTGTTGAAATAGAATTTGTAAATTTATTTCAATTGATTCTCTATTAGCATTTTAGTAGTCTTGGTGTTAAAATAAATCGCAAAAAAGTCGATCTGCATGGTACAAAATTCCACTATTCTCAATACAGGAATCGAGTATCAGAAGAAAATCTAGTCGAACAAAAATTCATTGTTAATTAGAGATTCAAAGCAAAAAGATAAATATTAATTTATGTCTCAAATCGTGTAGAAGAACTAAAAACAATATATTTAGTCTAAACGATAAATAATTTTTTCATTCAAGTTCAAGAACAAAAAAAAATATATATAAACGGCAGAGTTATAATATCATTAAAATTCTCTCCGATCCTTTCTTTTTATTATCCTGTTTTGTTTAGTGATTTCTTATGCGCATGGTATAACTAGTACAAATAAAGTTCAACACAGTTGATTTGTATTAGAGTAATGAAATATTTAAAAAATATTAAAAAGTCGATTCTCTCTTAAAGAAAAATCTTGGAAGTTCTGTAAATCTTTTTTTTGTGATCTCAATGTTCAGTATTGAAGACTAGATATAAACAATTGACCTTTATTCTAATTGCTGGCATACAATCGATAATTCATATAAGCGTTTTATTCTATATTGGCACAAATACAGAGATAATTTTTTCTAAAGCGGAACAATTTCAAAAGAAGACAACGAATATTTCTTGAAGAACAAGTTAGTAGGACTTAAATTTTATCAAATAAGTCAATTAAAATATGTCGATTATGTGAACAATTCTTATACATTTGAGAAATGGGAGATTTCGACATATTTTTCTATGATAAAAACTTAATTTTGATTTTTCTTTCGAAAAATTAGATTTTTTAAGAGAATGAAGCCGACGGAAGAGAAGAGCAGGTCGACCTTAATAGAGCCATACACCTTTGTGTTTTGAATAATACTCATTGAATCTTACATCACATTTAGTATTCAACAGCAACTATTAACGATGCATTAAATTTGAATTCGATTCTGAATTAAAATCTTATAATCGATATATTAGAAATTCGAAGTTGTTTTCAAAATTATATTTCTTTGTTTAGAAATATGAATTTCCTATGGTTTTTTTTCAAAGATCATTATATTTTGGTAGACATCAATCGATCATTATTTCATTAAATAAATACTATATGAAGTTAGATGGCAAGAGAATCCGACGGAAATATTTGTCCTACATCCGTCTTTTCAGTTTTAATCATGTTTCTAAAAATACAAGAAATGATTTTTTTGTCCAAGTCCAGTATGATAATAACTTCAATATGATGATAAATATTTACTGATTATTTACAAAAATAGTATATTAAGACAAAAAATCATACCAATCAACTCTCCAGTATTCATAATTAGCGTCTATTTTAATCAAGATTTTATTGCGTCTTATGATTAAAGATTAATTTTTTATATTATTGACGTTGATTGCCTTCGAGCTGGTCTCGCTATTTCAATATTAATTTAAAATCGATAAGTTATATTCTCAAAACTATCAATTGCAAATTACAACTCAGTATTATCAATAGTGGTAAATTTCAATTAGATTAGAAACAGTCTCAATAAATCTTTCTTCCACGCTTATGATCATGTCACTAGATTCCAGTATGTCCACTTCCAATCTATAGATATTTGATAATGTTCTAATAAAAATCCTAAAAGAGTTTGGGTATCTATTGAGATTCGACTAAGCTATCAAATTTTGAATATGCCTAGTTTCTAAATGACCCTAGATTTTCAAAAAACTCTTCCTTTCGAATTTTGATTTGAAATTTTCTGCATATAGAAAACTCAACTAGACGAGCTTTTATAAAAAAACTCACAAGTTTTGAACAAAGTCTCTTCGAAATATGAAGCTTCCAAAAAAAAAGCATATTGTATACACTATCCATGGAAAATGATCTATATCTCGAAGAGACTTGGTTTAAGATTTGTGAATTTTTTTATGAAAGCTAGTCTAGTTGAGTTCTCTGTATGCGCAAAGTTTCAGATCAGAATTCGAAAATATGAGTTTTCCGAAAAACCTGGTAGTCTCTAGAAAATAGACATATTAAAAATTTTCTAGCTTAGTCAAAACTCAATAGGAATCCAAATTCTTTTAAAGTTTTTATTAAAATACTATGTAGTATCTATAGGTAAAAATCATTGAAACTGGAAAGAAACATCTAAGAAGGTTTCCTTGTTAGTGTAAAATATTGGACAACGAAAAACAGTGTACTATAAAAATTCTCGCTGAATTCTTATTCGTGAATAGATCTATCTTGACGTTGTAACTAAAATGAAAACTTCTTTCTTAGTCATGCCAAAAAAGCTTCAAAATTGACTTTTTTTTTCGATATTCAATTTCTTTTTACCTGAAAAGTTTTCATATAATCTTTGCGGAGTAAGTTCTTAGAACTTTTTGCTAAATATCTTGCTATATACTGAAATTTGAATAAACAATTATAACTCTGCAATAAAGATCTGTTTCTACCGATGATAAAAAAAAGTAATTTGCAATAGAATCATGACGTTTTTTCTTATTAGTTCATTCTTCTTGTTTAGAAACACAAATAAAAAAGAAAAAACATGTCGAAAAACAATATTTGTATTATGATGATTGTATTAATTTTGTTTTTGTCTGTAAATGGTGAACAAAACAAAAAAGAAGATGAAGATATATATGGTTTAATTACAAATACAAATATACTTTGTATTAGAGATCTACTTACAAATATTGCAAAAGCAGCGAAAGATATTCGTAAAATCACGAATGAAATTGAACAAAAAATTGTAAATATGATTTTAGGAAAAAAAAATTTTCTTTTTTCTTAATTAATTTTTACTCAATTTTTTAAAGTTTCAACAAGATCCAACTAAACTTCGTCTTATGAAAACTATAAAACATAAAGAATAAATATTACATTCAACTTTTCCAACATCAAAATATCATATACATTCATTAACAATGAATAATATTGATAAAATAAAATAAAAAAATTTATTTTACTTAAGAAAACATATTCATTCATTTTTCCTTTAGAATGATTTTATTCATTTAATTAAATAAGAACATTATGCTATTAGTTATTTATATAATTCGGTACAAAAATGTACGTTATATTCAAAGTATATTAGGCAAACAATTTGATAATTTATTTAATAAAACTCAAATTATTTTACAAAATGATATCTTATGTAATTATATAAATATTTTATATGTTTATTCAAAAAATTGGTTAACAATTGATCAAATAAATGGTATTCAAATAACAGAAATACGAAAACATGAATTATTATCATTGGAATATAATAGTTATTCAATTATTATTGTTCAATTAATAAATCAATGGATGGGATGTATTGAAGATATTATAGATAATCTTGAAAATAAACTCATGTAAATCAATGTCATTTTCATTTTTTGACAAATTCTACACAACTAGAACATTCCTTTCATTTTTTAAAATGATTTAATTCATATATATATATGTATGATTTATTTGTTGTTGTAGTGTTTCTTGTAAATGCTTTTAATATAATGATTAATAAATTATATCGATTAATTAATCGAGGAAAAAAAAACATATTCTTCTTTTATTCATATCAAATAACAACAAAAGTTCATCGAAATGTTTGAAAGACCTATGGATGATAATGACTTTGAGTACCAAATGACCAAGAACAAATATACCAAGCCTAATCAATTTTGATAAATGCCATAAAACTTTTAAAATAATTTTTCATACGTAAAGGCACCGGATACTGATAATACATGAGTAAAAATTTTCTTTAAATTTCAAACGATGAATATCAAAATACTCGATAAAGATCATACGATAATAGAACAACATTAAGTTTCAAAAATACTAGGATGAGCGTGAGTCTTGTTTTCATCTACAATCATACTTTATAACTTTCCTGTCACCTATTCCCCTTGTGCTTATTCGAAATATAATTTTGTTCACAAATGTCTTAATTTGTGATGTTCAACGTACATTTTTTCTAAAAACTAGGGTTATTTATCTTTGAATAATATTGACCAATCATTGATTCTAGGGAAAAAAGAATCAGTGATCAAACGTGTCTTATCTTTCTCACTTTTTGATAATATATATGATCATCGATTTCATAGTTCAATTCTAATTAAACTGTCAGAAAAAAGAATTATAAAAATCCTATTTCATATATATATATATATATCGTTTGCCATGATAAGCACATAAATCAATATGAGATGTCATGTATGTGTTTATGACAAGATCAATATGTCTGTCTTTTAAGTATACGGCGCCTCGAACTTTTATACTTTCGATGTGATGTCAGTGTAGTTTAAAATACTGGTTCAATAGAATATTCCGACATATGTTCAATCCAACTTCAATAGAACAAGAAAAACAATAGTCTGTTCAATGTCAGACAAATGATTTTTTTTGTTGAGGTCATTTTTTTATGTAAAGCTAGAATAAAACAAATAGATACATATATATATATATATAATATTTCTATTAATTTAAACTTTTATTTGCTTATCAATACACTGAAAAATAGACAAATATAACTTAACATTGTGATGTATCGAATGAAATTTATCTAATTTATGTGCTAGTGGATTTTTGTAAGAATAATTATGTTTCTCTCAAAAATAAGCTAACTGAATTTAATGCTTCAAGTTTTAACATAGTCGAATGGCTCATACAATATGATAAAATTCTGTATAAATCAGTGGCATAGCCAGAAGTTTTTAAGTGCTGGGTCGTTTGCCAGCTAAATTATTTTTTAGGAGTGGGCAGCATCAGGCATTTAAACATTAATTGAGCTACAGTTTTTTCAAAAATTATTGTTGCCATCAGGAAAAGTGATATTTATGGAAGAGAAGTTCATTACTCCCACATAAGAGGCGAGCTCGTGCCCTTTTTTGTACTAATTCACAAATGTACTCTTCAAATTTCAAATATTTGAATATATTACGTCAAAAAACATAAATAAGCACAAATGTAACCATCAACAAATTTAACTAAAAATAACAAGAATTTTGGAAAAAAAATACCATTGAATTATCATTATTGTGAGCATTGGTTTAATGGAAAAGAAAATAGTCATTTGATCTTTCTGAATCACTTCATTAGGTCACAAAAAATACAAAGTATCAAAATGACATCACTTAAGTCTTTGTACATGTATGTGTATCAAGATTTTTCGGCGTGGGACAATTCGTGTCATTTCAAAAAAGTTCCATGAGCAAATTGTCCAATGGCCGTATCCCTGTCTACACCACTGACATAAATTATCAATTGCAATGTCTCAGAATAATTAGAACTTTCTCGAAGCTTGTAATGGATCATTCAGATGTCTTTTTTCAAAAACTTTCAATTGTTTAACAACTGAAAACAGATGTAGTTTGCAATAAATAATCGAATGAAGTGATTGTCATATAAAAGATTCTTTATCATGATCATTAATATTAGTTTCTGGAAAAAGAAAAATCATTTTTCAAGTTTTAGAAAAACAATAAATAAGATCCAAAAGCTAATGAATTCTAGATTTCTATCTGTTTTTTTTTTGTAAAACCTCATTTGGTCTATCGCATAATCTTAATCCAGAACGCATATATTAAAGATATAAAAAGTTTGTGAAGTCAGTCACTATGTCGACTTTATCGAAAATCATGCATCATAATTTCATTTGAAGATTTTTAATTATTAAAACTTTGTACAAACTTGAAAACTTCCTCTATGGAATAATCTCATTGCACATTGTTCTATCGATAATATTGACTTTTTCGTATTGATAATAATATTATATTGAATCTATTGATGATTTTCTATATACTCAGACAACATCTGTCTATTGAAAATGTCAATAGGAATGTATTTTTTTTTTAATTAAAAGTTAGTTCTCAATATATGATAAACATACAAATAACCACGCATAAAACCAAGAAACAGAGTATTCAGTAAGTTGATATTTGTAAAAAATGATATTTTCAGACATGAGACAATATTGATTAATAAAAAAAAAAGGAAGATAACTGAGATGAGTGGGCTGTTACCACGTAGTATATAATAAAACTTAATTTTCAGCAAATCGTAGAGCAACAACCACATTTCTATCGAGAAAAAGGCAGGTATTTTTGCTTTTTTTCTGTTAATATTTGTATTGATATGTTACAATATATATGTGGGAACTTTTAGAATCTTCATTCTACTTTCGACGTGGATCGTCTGTCTAACAGAAGAGCTAGTCTCGAATTTCAACAATTAGTAAGAATAAGAAAAAAGAAATTTTTCAAGTCGAAAAAACCATATTGATATGATTATCTATTTAGTTACAACGATGGCTATTACTTTATCAAGTTTGATACTTATTCTTCTATCAATTGTATGTGTATTTCCGTTTACTTTACAACATTCACAAAATGATAATATGTGTAAAACAACGGGTAGTATATTATGTATAAAAGAAGAATTAAAAATAATTGAAACAATAGCCAAAGGTATTGCACGTGCATCCGGTGAAATAGAACAAACTGTAAGTATAATTTAAAAAAATATAAAAGAAAACAATAAAATTTTAATTATTTTGTCTTTTTTTTTTGTTCTTTTAGATTGAACAAACAAAAGCTCTTGAAACACTCAATCGTTATATTAATATAGAAATGAATTATACACAATATAATGTACCAATACCAGAATTTCATAATGCATTTTTTCGAGCTAATAATATTGATAAAGTATGTAAGCAAAAAAATGTTTTATAATATTTATTTATTTATTTATTGTTGTTGTTTTTTGCATAGGAATTTTTAAGTGAACTTTTCTACGAAGCACATAATGCTATGCTTTTTTATTATAATTCCATACAAGATTTACTTGATTTAAAAGTTGAATATGCTGAAACAATTGATCAATCATTTAAAAAAATACAGGATAATTTAAGATTTGAAATAATTTGTCGATATCGAAGTGCTCTGAATGTTTTCTCTCAAAAATGGAAATTAGTCAATGAAGCTGGTCGAATAAAATTTTCAAGACAACATCGTCTTGCTCCATCATTTATTCATCATATACATTCAGTTGTTATTGTTCGATATTTACAACAATGGATGGAATTAATCAATTATGTTATTGTTAATCTTGAAAGTAAATATTTTTAAATCAATATCTTATATAAAAATAAAAATTCAATAGAATTTTTTTTTTTTGAATATTTAAATATTATTGACTGATTTAATTGTTTTAATCTCGAATTGAATGCTTTTGTCAAGTGTTTTTTTTTGCGTGTGAATGCAATGTTCATATTCATGTTTTATTAAATAAAACGATGATAAATTGGATATATATTTTTATGATAGAAATCAGTCTGGATCAAAGAAATCTATAAAATACTTTAAAAGTCAACTTGCTACTGTATTGCCTAAAAATAAATCATAGTATTATGATTTTATTCATTTCCTATGTTTTGCTACCATCACCAAATCATTTTTATATAATCAAAATATTTAACAAAAAACAAAACAAAACTATAACAGCATTGTAAATAGAATATCCGTAATTTATACTAACACAACAAATACTCAACGTTTCAAATCGAACAGATATTATCTTCACTAACATCCATTTTACATAGGTCATCAGAAAATATTTTACTCAGCAAAGAGTATTAGATCAACCTTCAGTATATTAACACCCACAAAAGACCTCTAATGACATGTTCAGGACAGTCAATTTATATCCACTAATATTCTGATATGAATCAATATCATTCTTTAGTACTTTGTTCTCCATAAACACCTGACAACGACTCAAACATGTCTTGATACTTTCTAATTAATAGCAAGAAGGATTTTAATAACACGTAAAACACATATAACTTGTATTTAACAATACTCAGAAAAACATGTAATGTACTTCTTACTATAGAAATGGAATAACTTTATACTTGGAAACATTTTAAAATAGGCAAAATTTATAAAAGTAAAAATACTGTCTTAAACATATCCAATAGAAAAATTCATTCGTTGAAAAGTGATTGGTGATGCCTTAGGAATTTTATTTCGAAAACATATCTGATTCATCTATTCAATGGAATTGAATAAGATATCTTCGATATTCAAAGGAAAATCGAGAAGAATCAGAGGATGACAGTAGTGATCCCACAGATAATGTAAAAAAAAAGAACTCAATTAGCTTTATTAGTATTTAGATTTCGAAGTTAATAGATGTCAACAAACTATTGATCTAATTTATAATTTTTCACAAAAGTCATCAAGAGAAATTTCAATTTTTATTTGGCATAGCGTGATTAATTTATTTAATATCATCTACTTTCACAAACAGTATAAAAAACAACTCTTTATAGTGGAATTAATTAGACAAGAAAATTAAATAGCCTGTAGAATAAATGACTATTTGATATTTATTTTGCTGAATACAAAAATGAAAATAAGAACCTTATTTGTTCTGCATGAGGTTTTGTACTCAGTTCTAATACGTCAGTTATCGATATATTTCGAAGTTTTCTACAAGTTTCAAATGATAGTAAATATAGCTGTTATGTCTCTGACAAATGCAATCTATGTCTTTGGGTGATTGAAGTTTCGTTCTAATTATATATAGATCTTTTGTTATATCGCTTTATAAAGGAAAAATGCTTCATTTCCGAAACGAAAGTTTGCGTCACATTTTTTAACATAGAGTTTGGATATTACTTCTTTGTTTGTCAAAGATTTCTTGGCTATTTTAAATATTAAGAAGTTCGGAAATGTTTTAAAATGAAGTAATAGCTATATACTTTAAGTAAACAATGTTGAAATTTTTATTTTCCTAGTTCATATTCAAGGACAATAAATTTTTTCCTATTTGAAAATAAAAACTTCTTGATAAGTTATAGAAATAAAAGTTGACCTCGTTAAGTTATAGCAGCACATCTTCACTACATTTTGACATCAATTCTAATTTTCGTATCACTAGATCGAGAGAAGAAAACTATGCTCTATGGACAACTAATTTTTGACCTTTCATGTTATGATAGATCTTGAACAACTCGAATATTTTACACTCCAACTTTCAATGTAAACTATGCAGAACAGAAGATACATTCTTTATAAGTTTCAACAGGATCGATTGTAAAACTTCTGACAAAGAAACAGATCTTAAGAAAATTTTATTTCTTTTACACGATTTGCCTATCTTTAGATGTTTTCAAGGACAAAGTTATTTCATTTGTATAGCTATCAGTGCATTGCAAGTTCTTATGGGTATTTAAAAAGAATAAGGTGGGTATATTTTACGTGTTATTAATATGTTACTTGCTGTTACAAGTAGTGTTTAGACATGTTGGACTCATTGTCAGATGTTCATGGAAAACAAATACTAAAGAACTGTGACTGACACATAGCACGTATTTATATCAAAAGACAAATTATAAATGTCAATGAATTTTAATTGGTATGTTAAGTATTATTGACATGTTATTAGAAGGTTTTTTCGGATATTAATTTGCTGTAAATTGATCTAATACTTTTTGTTCAACGCATCATTTTTTGATAACTCATCGAGATCTGAATATTAGTGAAAATGATATCTGTTCGATTTGCAAAAGACGAATGTTTGTCATGTTAGCATAGATTACCAACACTCTTATAAATAAACATTTGAAAAATATATATAACTTAATTTCAACTGCAGGAAAAAAAAACAAAATAAAATCAACCAAATATTCTTATCATTACATTATTCTACTCATGTTGATGATCTGTTTGACTTAATTATGTTTGATGTTGGATGAGCTCGATATAATAGAAAATTCATAAGATATTGTTCTTCAGGAGAAACATAATGAAATGATATAGTTTCATCACTACAACAATCGTAGTGCTAAAAAGAAAACATATATTGATAATTAAAAAAAAAACAAAGACAAAAAAAAAATTTCTTTTAATAAACTTACAGTGCGTAATGAATTTTCAGCATATTTTAGAAGCCAATCAGGAAAATAGCCCCGAAAATGATCAGTAAATGAAAGTGGATGAAATAATTCACGATTTTCTTTATCGAGTGATTTGCCTGGATAAACACCTTTTGTACGAAGACAATTAGCTATTTCAACATCTTCACTACCTTCATCTTTACGGCAATTTGATGTTGGATCTTTATGTGCTTCATGAAATCGTCGTAATGATTCTCGACTTAACACATAAGATGCTCCACCGGAATGGTATCCTTGTGGAACGATAACCTATACAAATTTTAACCAATAGATTCTTTTATGAAATTACAAATCATAATTATTCAACTTTGAAAAAGATTTTATCGCAAAATTATAGTTTAGTTAATCTGTTAATGTACTAAAACTATTAGAAAAGAACAAAAGATTAGACTTAAATAGGCTGTAAGAAATTTTTAAATTCATCTACTACTAGCTGCTTACAACATTCTCTTTCTTTTATTTTCTGTATTGAGATAAATCTAATTCGAGAGCATTAATATCTTCAAAGAATACCATAAAGAAATAGCACATCTAATAAAAGAAGAGATTTCTTTTTTTTTTCCTTTGTCGAACTGTATCTGAGACAATCGACTGTTATATAATGTAGAGACTTATCAGTCGAAGATTATAAGATTTGTTGTCACTGTTTCATTCAGTGTTCCTACTGTTTGTGATTCTTCTACTATGTGCTGTGTACATGTGCTCTGAAAAATATATATGTACACCCTCCCAGACTTGTAAATTATCCTTTCAAAAGAAGGAATCTAGATAAAACATTGTATATTGTCTAATATTTTTTTGATCATTTGATGGAAGATCTAATTGTTTATTGTGTTATGTCACTAGTATACAATTGATGAAGACAATTCTAGCTTGTGCATTTCTAAATTAGATTAGTCGAATCTATTTGTATATATATAACTTTAAAAGAATATTTACACTCATGTAAATTATTAAGAGAAACAAACAAAAATAATTTAATATATTAAATTGTACAATAGATAATAAGTCATTAATAATTACCTTAAAATTATATCCAAATGTAATAGGTTCTGATGAATTTTGTTTACTTAAAAATTTTTTTAAATGTTCAATAATTAAATATGTATCATCATCTGCTTTAATAAACCAATCAAAATCATTCAAATAATTTTCATATGCATATAAAAAAGCTAATACTGATTTTTGTGTTAGATGTTCATAACCAGGTACAATACCTTTAATTGGTGCAATAGGTATTTGTTCTGTAAAACTAATTTGTTCAGCTGTCATTTCTTCTCGAGGATATTCTGTTACGAAAACATAGCGATCACATCGTGGCGCCCAAGTTTCATTAATAGCTTTTGCACGTGTGAGAAAATTTTTTGGCGTTGTCAATATTAAACAGCATATACGTGGTAATATTATTTGATTATGATTTTTACTATGGTTAAGTCGAAGATTTAGAAAAGTAGTTTGATAGGGTTTCGTAGAAAAATTGATATAAAAAATCACGAATAATGTTATCACAGTGAATATAATTCCAATTGAAATGAAATGTTTGTTATTAATAGAAGACAACATTTCATAAATGACATTCGTCGTTTAAATGATAAATATAAGAAAAAAGAAAAAATGATAAAAACTTTTATCAAATATAACAATGTGAAAATAATTTATATGTAAAAGAAAACGAAAAAAACCAGCAGTAATAATAGTAGTTTGCTTTTATCTATTAGTTTATCACATTGAGAAGTCACTATGTCGCAATATTACAATATTTCGCTTATTCGATTGAGTCAAAAAAACAGCAGAAAAACTTCATGCATCGACCATATGCTGTGTTTGTCGATTGTCATATGTTGTTGCTATTACTGTCAATATGCACGATATAATCTTTTCATTTTTTTGACATATTATGCACCTATCAGCTTTTTTTTTCTAATATGTGAATCATATTGCAGTTCTACTAGAAATAATTAATACCGAAAAAGCATACACGTAATAATGGCATTTCGTCGATTCCATTATGTTTACTTCTGTTTATGCCCAAGCAGACTTTAAAAAGTATACGATGCGGTTGCGACGAGCGATTGAAAATTGGCAATATATATTTTTTGTTCGTTCTGTTCCGATTTCGAGTCTCTCGACAGTCATCGGATTCCGACCATCCGAAAACTGTATCCTATTGGATATATTTTTTCGATTTCTCTAACAGTTTTAGATCCTTCAGTATTCATCGAAGCTTCGAGTACTTGGGAAAAAAAACATATTTGAAGCAAATTATTGAGTGCTTCAGTACAAGCAAGCCTAGCAGAATAACAGTTTCAAGTCAAATGGTGAAGTTAATTTTGATTTCTTGAAACGTCTTCAAAAAGTGATTTACAAATGTCTCTTTCATTCGGCTATCTTAGTAAGATGATTTATGTTCGATATATATCTTTCTTAATTTCATAATTTTCTAAAAAATATTTTATATCAACTGATGAAAAATAATAAGTAAGATCGGAATTCACAAATGTTTTTGATGAAAAACACAGCCATAACGAAGTTTGCATTTTGAATGTTTGAAAAATTCTTTTTGATATTGATTTTATACTTTATCATACAAATCAATTATTCAGCCAAATGTCGTATTTATCAAATAAACTCCTAATATTGCATCTGAGACTCCAAAAAAGCCTTTTCTATAGTTAAGGACATGCAAAAAATGCTTTTATTCGATTAAAAAATTTTTTTTTTGTAATTTTTTGAAAGCTGTTAGAAATTATTAAAATAACAATCTTGAAAATGCTATCCTTCTAAGAAATGAAAAGATAACTTTCATAGAAGAACAATAGTTCATATTGTAAACGAATACTGTACTAATGTTTCTTTCTTATGAATAAACATCGAAATATTTGATATAAAGTCATTTTTTTTCTGTATTTAATATTTCAGAAGAAAAACAAATCGTGATAGTTCCTTGCAAAAAAAAAGATGCTAAGACATAAATTAATAGAAGATGAAGAAAAAATAGAAAATTTCTATAATATAATATTTTTAATAAAGTATCACTAAAAAAAAAACATCAATATTATCTTTCATTCGAACTTCCTATGTTGAATAGAAATATTATTGATATTTTTTATAACATTATCAGTCAAACTCTTTAATCTAAAACATACGAGAATAAAAAAATGCTGACTCATTAACTATTCATGATAAGACAGTCATAGAATATATGTCAATAATACATTATATTCACTTACACACACACACACACACACACTTTTATTATTAAAAAAGAGTAGTACAGTTCTATGAGAACTTTTTCAAGCATAAAAAAAGTCAGTTCATCATAAGATAGGCATGGAAGAATAATGTGCATCATTGAAATGTTAATAACTGAAATTGTCGCCTTCGAACCATCATCATACTTTTTAAATGAAACAAATTCTGCGAAGGTAACGAAAAAATGAAATATTTTATATACAAAAAATATACACATTTGCATCAAAATATACTCATTCCATCGATACTATTTAATATCAGATATATCTACGAATTGCTAAATACCCCGTTTTCTCTCTATCTTAATAAGTCCATATGCATGTATTAATTCTTGAATACTTCTTTCACAAATACATAATCTCCAAAGTCAATAACCTATGTCAATGAAACATATTCAGAATTATGATAAAAAAAAAACTATTGGAAGATAGAAACAATACTAATAACAACAATTCAAATCCAAATCCAAATACTTTCAACATTCTTAAATGTTTTGTAGAATAATTGTGAAGTAAATATATAGAACGTCTTAGTATTCATGATATTGATGATCCATCAACAGAAATATATTCAAACTTAAATATTTAAATACATGACAATTTTATTGAAAAAAGTCAACGCCTACTTCTTTCGAACAGAAAGAATAAAAAGATTTTATTATATCTCATATATGTTGGTAATAAAAGGAAAATTTAATATGAGACAATTATTATTTATGTGTTTCCATTGTGATTCTGTTCAATAATCAACTTAAATACGACCTTTGTTTTTTCTAAATGAATACAATAATATAATTCGAATGTTTTATCTAGAAAAATTTTATTTTTACAAATAAAAGAAAATTTCGAGGATATTAATTAAATATCATTGAAAAATCTAACATATATGATACACTAACAAAAATGAATACTTACTGTAAAACGTATTTTGCAAGTGAATACTTCTAGAATTTGCGATAGTGTATCAAATGCATACATATTCATGTCTTTGATCATTTTGATGAACAATAAAACAATGAACGATTAGTTAGTATCAGAAAACATTTAAAACTTCAGTATTGTCATTTAATAAGAGTCAGAAACTACAAAATGAACCTCATTTTGATGTCGATCATACTCTATATAATAAGAAATCCATCAGATATTGGTTTTCATACTTAATTTAATGGAATACAACTGTTTGAGTATTGCTACAAATGTGATGAACAAAAAAAAAAACAATTATAAAAAGCGAAAATTATACTGAATCAGGAAAAGGAATTTAAAATGTAAAGGAATGATGAAGTTTACAATTTGTTTATCTACAATACTACCATCTCTATCTTAATTTTATGTTGAGGCTTCATAAAACCACATAATAATTCTCTATTCAATATATAAGATGTTTCACTTATATGAAATCTGTTTGGACTTATGATTTGAAATTAATATTGATAAAAACCTTTTACTGAGCTATTTTATTGATTTATTATAATTCGAAATGGATATGTCCGCTTAGCAAAATGTTGGACATAGAATATTATTCCATCCAGTGTTGGTTGAATCAAAAAGATTTTAATAACTATTTTTCTATAAAACATTAAGAAAATCGATCAAAATAGTTCTAAATTCTTTTAGAGATAAAATTGAATCCACGATGAAATAAAAAAAATTAGATTCGTATGTAATAGAATCCAATGAACTTTATTCATTTAAAAAATTCTTTCAAATGATCAACAATCAAATATGACATTCTTATCTTTGTTGACGAAACAATTAAAATCTTTCAAATAATTTCCATATGCATATAAAATAAGCTAATGTTAACTTTTGTGTTCGATGACTAGAACTGATTGTTATGTTTTCAATGGATACAATCGATACTTGTTCTATGCTCAAGTTTCATTTATAGGTTTTGCACATTGAAAAAATTGAAAAATTCTAAAATACTCAATGCTTTACTTAATTCTCTGTTGCTCAATTGAGTTCATATGTAAAATATTGAATACATTACATTTTAAGTTCTAGTATAAATAATTTTTTTCCCAGTAAACTGTACACTTAACGTAGCTAGCTCTGTTCGAATGAATATTAACAATAATTTTGCATCAAACTATCAATGTTTTTTCTACATTACATTCAATATTTAAAAATAGTTGATTCTTGTCTGAGAACACAATGGGATGATGTTCACCAATAAGGTAAATAATACATATCTAAATGATGGACATATATGCTAAATAAAAGACCTCGATGATGCAGTTTATGTTTCGATAAGAGGAGTCTCTTATTCACACGCTTGAGTTCTTTTTTAAGCGTTTATATTTCTTGTTCAAATATGTGTAAAGATGATTACACACGAAATACTTTATGAAAAACATTACGAGTCGCATAGATTAACAATAAAAGTCCGCTTCCGACGCAAGCTAGCCATAGTAATATTCCATTAGATCCGCTCATCTTTCACAACTATGAAAATGATATCTATGATGCATGAAACTACTAATTTTGATTACATTTTATACGTACTTTTTGTTGTTTTTCTTCAGTTTCATATTCAAAACAATTCGGCTCATAATAAAAGTTCACAGGTGAAATAACAAAGTCTGTAACAGACAGGCCAAAATAAGAATCTATATAAGTAGACTCAGACATTCTCAATGGCAAGCAGTATTCTTTCAGCTTGAGTAGAAAAGCTTTTACTGTTTCCTCTAGTTCATTGTTTCAAGTGTGCTCATTCGTGTAATTTTCATGAATTTAGCATATGAGCTACTTTGAATGTGCACATAGCTCATGCATATATTCAAGTGCTTGTCGATGAAAAGAAAGTCATGTAATATTGACACATCTTAACGTCCGGACATGAAAAAAATGTTTGACTAGGTTGTTATTTTAATAGATTTTGTCTTCTCATTCTAATAATTTTGCTTTAATTTATACATCAAATGCACGTTCTCATTCTTTGTACTTTTATCAAGTTATATCAACAAATTTTGGGTTCACGTCTTAATTTTCGCTGAATATATTGTTTTTGTTAATCATTAACCGACATTTAGTTTTTCATTTTCTTTTTTCATTTTCAAAAAATTGAACACTCTTTGATATTCAATGTTGCTTTGTTTAATGAATTGATAATCATTTGTATAAATAGAATTGGAATATTTGTTTATAGATTTTCGAAATGAATAATCATTAAACAAGATTTTTGGTAGCAAAATACTTTCTGATGAAATATAATAAATTCATAAACATTTGTTACATGATATATTTATGTAGTCAAACATTTAATGAAACGAAAAACAATAAGAAGATTATCAATAATTATGAACATGTCTATGTGTTAATTTGTATTCTGTTCTTTCATTAAAAAGAGGAATTTAAAAAAAAAAGAATTCAATAAATTTTACATCATTACATTAGTTCACCGGTATCATAGAGCTATGTGATGTTTTAATCAATTTTGGATCAATATGTGATGTTGATCGAGTTTTATATAGTAGAAAATACATTAGATATTGTTCTTCAGGTCTAACATAATGAAATGAAATTGTTTGATCACTGCAACAATTGTAATTCTAATCAAAAGAAAAACAAATCAATCATATTAATTTTAAGAAATAACATCATTTTAAAATATTAACTTACATTTTGTGGTGGATTCTCAGCATATGTTTCAAGCCAATCAGGAAATAAACCCCGAAAATGATCAGTAAATGAAAGTGGATGAAATAATTCACGATTTTGTTTATCGAGTGATTTACCTGGATAAACACCTTTTGTACGAAGACAATTAGCTATTTCAACATCTTCACTACCACCATCTTTACGACAATTTGATGTTGGATCTTTATGTGCTTCATAAAACCGTTGTAATGATTCTCGACTTAACACATAAGATGCTCCACCGGAATGATATCCTTTTGGTACATGTATCTTTAAAAAAAATTTATAAAGATATTTTAACGTGTTTATAACTTCAAAATATTTTGGTTTTGAAAGTTTTTTTTTTATTTGCCGTATTGAACTTATTTATCTACATAATAGTTACTTGGTATGTTAATATGTGAAGATAAAAATCAACTCACTTGTGTTATCATTCCTTCAATGATAATTAGTTTAGACTATTGATACATTACAACTAGCAAACTGTCATAGAGAGTGGTTCAAAAAAAGAACTTATTCCTGGCTCTTTTTCATATTCTTTTAGAATTTAGTTTTTAGTCGAATTCTTTCTGCAGTAGATATAACTATAGAAAATCTACTAGATAGAAATATTTTTATTTTGATAACAACTGAGCGCAACTAGTGACAACTAATAAATTCATTAAATATGAAATCTATACTGAAATAGTATATCCTCACTAGAAAGCAAATAAAAGATTTATCTCGAAAAATTACTGTTGACTTCAAAATTTGGTGTAACTATAGAGTGAGTAATATACTCATTATGAAAAATATTTTGATTTAAAATGAATTGTTTTTCAAAGATTTTTTTTTTATTTTCGGACGATTATTTTAGTTTACTACGAATTGCTGTTTCGTGCTTCTCTATTATATCATACCTTGTTTCGGATTATGCAACTAAAATTTATCAATATTTTATACATATTGTTATAGTCACTGAAGCTCTTGACCTATGGTATATAATTGATCGTCATTAAAACTAATTCAAGTAACGAAAGAGCTGAATTAGTGCGATATATTGCTTTATAAGAAAATACGCAATAATTCTCAATAACTTATGTCTACCTAATCTATCAATGTTTAGAAATATAGCCGAAGAATTTTAAATTATCCTACTGTTTCGTTATCGAACTATTGAATTTTTACGAAAGATCGAAAAATAGAAAAAATGATTTCGTTCCGAAATAGATTTCATTTTTTTTTGGATTCCTTTTCTCTTCTAACTGACGATAGAATGTTTTCAAAAGGAAGATACTTTTATTTAGTAGCCTTTTTTTTGAGCTCTATCTATTGCAAAAGGAATTGATTCAAAAACATGAATATTATGAACTGAGGAATTCCATTTTCTAAGAGGATAAGTTTTTTTTTGGACTATTCTGTAGATAGGGATAGAGTTTTAAATGAATTTGTTTGCCTAAAGGTTTTCTTTTCTTGCTTAACTACATTTAAGACAAAAGAATAATTATCTACTATTAATCGATATTATGAGTCGAAATTCAATGGTTGTCAAATATAATTTTTTTCTATGTTGATCGAAATTTTTCAGAGAACAGTAGACAGAATAATTCTACTTATCTTATTCCATAGATACAACATCTTATCATTCACTTTTTCAAAAGATACTATTCGAAATAAATAATCTATTCACAAGTAATCACCTTAAAATTATATCCAAATGTAACAGGTTCCGATGGATTTTGTTCATTTAAAAATGTTTTCAAATGTTCAACAATCACATAAGTATCATCATCTGCTTTGACAAACCAATCGAAATCATTCAAGTAATTTTCATATGCAAATAAAAAAGCTAATGTTGATTTTTGTGTTAGATGATCATAACCAGCTGTAATATTTTTTATTGGTGCAATAGGTATTTGTTCTGTAACGTTGATTTGTTTTGATGTTATATTATTTCCAAAATATTCTGTTATAAAAAAGTGACGATCACATTGTGGTGCCCATGTTTCATGAACAGCCTTTGCTCGTGTATGAATGTATTTTGGTGATGTTAATATTAAACATAATACACGTACTGATGATGGATCACTTAGATTTTTACCACGAGAAAATTGAAAATTTTGCAACACTGTATAATAATTATTCGTAGAAGAACCAACATAAACGAAAGTGATTAATGTGAGACTGGTGACTACAAGACCAATCGAAATGGAACGTCTCTATATAATGCAAGATGACATTTAATTAAAGTTGGTAGTAAAAAACTTGAATGATGTAAACAAAAAATAAAAAAACAAGGGCGAGAAAGTGATAAACGTTTACTATTGATTACTATAGAGAAAGTATATATTCATGTACGAAGAACTGAAATCTAATAGATTCATTCTCAAATTTCGATTTCAATCAATTAAGTTGCAGAAAGATATATATATAATAACATTTTCATCCTAAAAGCTTTGACTAACGAGGAAGAACATCTCTAGGTGCCACCTCATCCACCTCCAATTCCAATGATTGTTTTTGCTTATAAATACTATATAGTGCACTAGTAAAAATTCTCAAAAAGTTTGAGTTCTTATCTTTTTCTTCAATAGTTATGAATATTTTTATTTTGTCCCTATAGTACATAACATACCCATCATATTAAAAAACCCATCAGTCAATCACAATGCAAATTAAGAGTCAGAATTTTGTTTTTCTGGTGTCATTTGATATCTGTAATATTCACGGACATTTCAATCTTTTATTTCTTTTCCTTATCATGTTATAGAATTTCGTTTTCGGAGAGAAGATGATATAGCACACTATTTGACGTAAAACGAACCACTGCCACTATCGTTGATCATATGTGTTTATAGTACTGATTTTTATATTATCAATTATCGCACACTATATCACACCTTTCATAGAAAATCAGCAGTTATATAGAAAGAAGAGAAGAACCTCATGGATCAAAGTGGATAACAGATTACAACATATAGTGAAGAAAATGAGAAAATCTGTTATAGGAAAGATTTAAGACAATATGTTATAGACAGAATCGGAAAAAATATACAAATGTGTCACATATGATAGAAAATGAGTAATAATAGAACCCATGAAAAATACCAGTAAAATAGGAAAGGAAAATAACAAGTGTGTAGTGAGTAGACTACTATTGAACAATAATTCCATCTTGTAACAATATAAAAATCAAAATAATTTAATATTATATATTATTCACTATAGAGATAAAATAAAAATATTCATAGCTTGTGAAGGAAGAGATAGAAAGTTAAATCCTTTAAGAGTTTTTACTAGTGCATTATACAGTATCTATAGACAAAAACTGGAAATCAGACTGTGAGAACCTGCAGATTCCTCGTAAGTAGTTATGTATTAAGATATTTCCTAATATTATGCATAGTTTTTTTAGTTGAAAAAAAAAAGAACAAATATCTACAATTTTCAATTATTATGAAATCGAACAGATCTAAATTAAATTTTTTAAATCATTGATAAATATAAGTAAAAGAAAAATTCGACTAATTTTTAGCATTTTGTTCCTATCTATCGATATATTATTAATATAACGAATACGAACATATCTTTTTCTTTGATGATGCAATAAAAAACAATGAATCAAAATGATTCAAATTAATTACATGCTTTCACTATTACTACATTACACATTCTTCTTACTGGTATTCACTTATGTTCTAATACATGTATTTTTGTTCACTATATACATAACTACTTCCTAGCTATATGTAAATCTTGATATATAGTTCAGTTTAAACAAATGTTGACTATAAGTTTATATAGATTGCTATTAATGAGATTCTTAACCAATAATCTTATGTTTACATATGATTATTTTAACAAATTCTATAATATTTTATTTTAGGATTCATAAACATTGAATAATTTCAAATAAACATCATTTATTTATTTAATACAAGAATATTTTAATTATTCATACAATTGAATTAGAATAATTACAAGTTCAATATTTTTATGCACAAATTAAATAGTGTCTGTATTCAAATGATAAAAGCTTGCAATTATAATAATCAAAGGAAAGAAAATATAGATCATTTTTTAAACAAGCTTGTATACATAACTGAGAACAAAAAAAACTGCTATTTTCACATGTCAAACAATGAATAACTTATTATTTGTTTTACATCAATCATCTATTTGTTCAAATATCTAATTGAAAAATTTCGAAACATAAAATCTCTAAAAATTGATATTCTAAGTGCATTAAATTGAAAGTAATTTTATTTTAAATAAAAGTATGTTAATTTTCATGTAAAAAGAAAATTAGAATCTCAAAGTTTATCCATATAATCCATTATGTATGTAATAGGGAGAAAAAAAAAACGAAGAAATTGTTTACCATGTCAATATACTTGAAATCTCATGAAGAATATTGTTTTGAAATATATTTTTAAAAAAAAAGTTTTCTTATTCTGAAATCGAATATTTCTTCTTTAAAATAATGATAAAAATTCATAATAATGTGTCATATAATAACTATTCATATAAAAATCCGCTGATTTATATATATAATAGTTTATCTTCTTATCTTTTTCTCAATATTTGACTATGTTAGTTCTTGCTCAACGGAAACCTATGCTTTTTTTTATGTCAAACGAGATTAAAGTGTTAGTAGGTTTTGTTTTTCTCATATTTACTATTGCTTCAACCAACTATATTCAATATGTAAAATTCTAGATGATGATAGCATAAAATTATTTTTTTAAATAATTACACAGTATACTATTTACATATTCTAATAACAACTCTTGAACATGTGTGAAAGTCTCAAGAATGAATTTCCAAGAATAAAATACTCATATTCATAAATCGATGTCTTAGAATAATAGATGAATTCTAATTAAGACTTTAATATATTTTCAAATGTTTCCCTTACATTCACTTCGATAAAGAAATCTGACTTGAGTCTTCACAATGAAGACTAAAAAAGAAATTATTCAAAGATATCTGAGACACATGTACTTTAGACAGCTGCAGACATATAATCAACACGTTTATATTTATATCAAATACTGTTAGCATTTTGATTTAATGTATAAAATAATTTTCTACTTACATATTCTCTTGAGGATAACATCGATTATGAATTGTTTTCATTACTAGATCATATTATTAAAAATATATTTCATTGTTAAATATATTTCTTAGAAAAAAAAATCTGATTATTAAATTGAACAACAAAAATATGGATGAAATTGCATAATAAAGCTTACATATGTCACTTTTTGTCCTTTTTCTGATCAACTACTATCGGATATAATGAAGACAACACAAACGATCGTCTCTACTGTGGACAATAGAAAATAAATCGATGAGGGACAAGATTTGTTTGTAGATGAATTATCGAGACTATTTTACGTATATGTGTTGAATATAGAAAGAAGAGACAAAGAAACGGATGCGATCGAAAAACAGAGTAATATGATTCAAGCTGTTCATATGTACTCGTTCTCTCTTGATTAAATAATCATTTTCATGATCAAAGCAATATAAGTGTAGAATACGAAACAAAAGGTGATACTAATAAAACAATTAAATGTTAAGCAAATACGAAGCAAGAAAATTCCCATGAAATCGACGAATTTATCGGTTTTTTTCTAAAAAAATAAAATATTTCATGTCGATATAATTATTCAGTATTATCTACGAATGATTTCAAAATATTTTTCATTCTTTAAAAGAACTTTTTTTTAGCAAAATATTGTTCAACAGCTGATATAAAATAATATTAAATTCATCCGATACTAACCAATGATTTGTATCAATTAAAAACAATTATTTATATCAATAGAATTAATTATTTTAAGGCGTGATAATCTTACACAAGTTTACATAGATTATTTACATGCAAAGACCACTGGTCGTACAACAGATTAAGTACAAAAAGCTATTATCACGAATACAAAATGTATTTGTCTTGAAATCAAATTTTACATTAAATCTAAATATAATATGGTAATGTATCAAAAATAATATTTGACAATTTTGATGAACGTCATTTTATTATTATTAGGCAATGCTGATAAATTAATTGTTTGTGTATTTATCGAATATGAAATTATTTCTATTGGTCAATTGTTCAGATATGATTCTTTTAGATGATTTGTTACTTATCATCTAATTTCATATTTACTGGTTAGTTATTCAAATTCTTATGATGATCTCAAGTAAAAAGTAGCATATGCAGTAGTATTGGTTTACACGATTTACTATCCACGGATTTACTATTCGTTGATTATTTCAAAGAAGAGAAATGAATGAATGAGTAGTCATTACAACAAGCAGTATATAATCAGAACAAAAAAAAGATTCCAATAAATATATGAACAAATAAAAAAAAAATAAAGAGAGATGACTATTTAACTGTTTGATGGATGTTGAAAATATCGCAATCCAGCAGTTTTCAAGAATGTTGGAACATTCAATGAAAGAAATTACGAACCATACAATCTCACATTTGATAACATACATATTGCAAAAAAAAACAATACTAAAATCAAAAACACGTGGTCAATAAAATACCACGCAGTGCACTGACATGTGATCTTAAAAGTTTTATTTTTTTTGTTATTTCGAAATGTTGCTCTGGCAGACTAGTGTTACCACCAATCCACACGTTTTCGTCATCGCAACATGTATTTGATCAGATTTGATCATTTACCTCTTAGTAAATTGTAATAAGCAACTTTTCTTGTGAGTGTGCAGTGCACGACATCTGTTTTGTCTTTACACATTACATATTTTTCTTGTTCTGTGCACTAGGTAATGTGTAAGGAGAAGACCAATGTCGAGCTTTCAGTTTATTAAAATAGTTATCGCTTCTCGGCCTTTTCGGCTAAGATCAAAGTGTAGTATCTGTTCTCGTCGGTTTGAAAGCCGGCGCTGGTCCCATTGGGGCCAGGCTCTTTCAAGCGGATTTTTGGACATCGGCCGGGATCACCCGAGTTCACTCGGACCTGTGCCACGGATCGTCTCGACACTGCAGTGCCGTCGAGTTCGGTCCACTCCCGTTTCCTTCGGGAATCGGGAACCTATTTATTATCACAAACTAATATGAAAACATTCTTCAACCTTAACGATGTTGAACTTCATTCAAGTTATTGTTGTGACTCTGAAATAATTCTGTTGTGATTACTCATTAGTATTACGATATATGCTGCTAGTTGTGTTTTTGAGTTTCGATGAGGACATTTTCTTGTCACTTACAATTCCAGCTCATACGAGTGTGAAGCTACATATGTGAATTCGGAAATTATAATATCTCTGTAGGACAATTATTGAAAGTGATTGATATGCTACTATTCTTTCTGTTCCAATATCAAGTACAACATAGTTTAGTATATTTTTTTCATCTGTCAATAGATATTATATTGTAATTACTTTCAACGAATCATTGGAATATGATGATGAAAACGGAACAACGAATAAAAGTATAACTATATCATCAATACAAGATAATAAATATCCGAAAAAAAATAAAATTTTTTTAATGTTTTTATCAGTAGTTTTGTCAATATTCAACAGTTTAATTGACTTTCTTATCATTTAAAATTTATCTTTGAGCAGAGTATTATCTTGTGAGTTAATCACCGAAATAAAAAAGCCACAACGCTTTTCTCGATTAAAAGTTCGACAGATCTAAAGTTAGAATCATTTAGTTTTGTTTCAAACCAGTCCTGTTGCTCTAGAGAACATCGATTCTATTTCCATAGTTTACACTCTTTGAATCTTTTTTCTTACAATCATATGATGCAAGATGACCATAAATATCTGTATACAACGATACTTGACAAATAAACATAGAAATTAGTCGAACAAAAAGTACAAAAAAATTCTTCGTAGTTACATCCGTGAACTGCTAAAAAACGATAATATAAGAAATATTCATTGCATTATCAATCAGTTTTCGTCATTTGCAGATTAGTTCATATCATAAGAGTAAATGCAAAAATTTCAGCATGCTTTTCGAATTGTTGTGCCAATGATATAAACTTATGTCATATTTTTAGAACTTCTCCTATTTGAAAACAAACAAGTTCATTTTATCTATTTATTAAACAGTTCATAGAAGATTTATCTTTTTACTTGACTGACTATAAATTAATTTATTTTATCCAATTTTTATTAGTTTGTGTGATACCATCGTATATACTTTAACTTTGAATAAAACGAACAGAATTTGTTCAATGTAATCGAATTATTTTGACCAATGTCGATGATGATTGTTGTTCTTCTAAATAATTCATGTTCAAAATTCTTGGGACTTTTCTTTCGAAAATTTTCAACATTTTTTCTTTCTTCAGCGTTGATCCACAATGAGATTCAACTGCGTTTATACTTTATTGCCAGATACAACATGGTTTAGAAATAAATGAAATATCTTCTTCAAAGTAAAATAAAATAAGAAATTCGATTCTTTGTTACTATTCGAGTTCCTTCTACTCATCAATCAAAACAGAAGTTTACAATCATGAGAATTTCATTCTAGAACAGCTGGATGTCACTGTAAATAATAATTATTGATTGCTTCAATATCAAAATGCCTATCCATCTGAAATACCTTATCATCAATTCCATCAATAAATCTGCTGTCGACATATTATTTGTTAGAACTATGTTGCTTTCCCAAAAAGTCTCAATAACGTACTAAATAAACTATATCGAGGAAAAACTTTTTTTTTCAGACATGTCAGCAACAATATCACATTTTTCCATAATGAATATTATTCATCAATAAAAAAAAACACTTTCAAACTATTGATCAACATGTTTTGCAACATCCAATTATGATATTCCATGAAAGAAACTAACACACTACATAGTAATAATTTGCTAGTCACATTTATGTTACCAACGAAACACCACCCATACCATTGATATGTAACGTAAATTATATATTTTTTATTATTATTGTAGAATGTTGCTCTGGCAGACTAGTGTTGCCACCAATCCGCACGTTTTCGTCATTGCAACATGTATTTGATCAGAGTTGATCATTTACCTCTTGGTAAGTTGTAATAAGCAACCTTTCATCTCAGTATGTAGGGCACGATATTTCTCCTGTTCTTACACATTTCATTTCTTCCTTTTATCTTTCTTACATAGTATGTGTAAGGACAAAACAGATGTCGTGCTCTGCATACCAACGAGAAAAGTTGCTTATTACAACTTACCAAGAGGTAAATGATCAACTCTGATCAAATACATGTTGCAATGACGAAAACGTGCGGATTGGTGGCAACACTAGTCTGCCAGAGCAACATTCTACAATAATAATAAAAAATATATAATTTACGTTACATATCAATGGTATGGGTGGTGTTTCGTTGGTAACATAAATGTGACTAGCAAATTATTACTATGTAGTGTGTTGGTTTCTTTCATGGAATATCATAATTGGATGTTGCAAAACATGTTGATCAATAGTTTGAAAGTGTTTTTTTTTATTGATGAATAATATTCATTATGGAAAAATGTGATATTGTTGCTGACATGTCTGAAAAAAAAAGTTTTTCCTCGATATAGTTTATTTAGTACGTTATTGAGACTTTTTGGGAAAGCAACATAGTTCTAACAAATAATATGTCGACAGCAGATTTATTGATGGAATTGATGATAAGGTATTTCAGATGGATAGGCATTTTGATATTGAAGCAATCAATAATTATTATTTACAGTGACATCCAGCTGTTCTAGAATGAAATTCTCATGATTGTAAACTTCTGTTTTGATTGATGAGTAGAAGGAACTCGAATAGTAACAAAGAATCGAATTTCTTATTTTATTTTACTTTGAAGAAGATATTTCATTTATTTCTAAACCATGTTGTATCTGGCAATAAAGTATAAACGCAGTTGAATCTCATTGTGGATCAACGCTGAAGAAAGAAAAAATGTTGAAAATTTTCGAAAGAAAAGTCCCAAGAATTTTGAACATGAATTATTTAGAAGAACAACAATCATCATCGACATTGGTCAAAATAATTCGATTACATTGAACAAATTCTGTTCGTTTTATTCAAAGTTAAAGTATATACGATGGTATCACACAAACTAATAAAAATTGGATAAAATAAATTAATTTATAGTCAGTCAAGTAAAAAGATAAATCTTCTATGAACTGTTTAATAAATAGATAAAATGAACTTGTTTGTTTTCAAATAGGAGAAGTTCTAAAAATATGACATAAGTTAATATCATTGGCACAACGATTCGAAAAGCATGCTGAAATTTTTGCATTTACTCTTATGATATGAACTAATCTGCAAATGACGAAAACTGATTGATAATGCAATCAATATTTCTTATATTATCGTTTTTTAGCAGTTCACGGATGTAACTACGAAGAATTTTTTTGTACTTTTTGTTCGACTAATTTCTATGTTTATTTGTCAAGTATCGTTGTATACAGATATTTATGGTCATCTTGCATCATATGATTGTAAGAAAAAAGATTCAAAGAGTGTAAACTATGGAAATAGAATCGATGTCCTCTAGAGCAACAGGACTGGTTTGAAAGAAAACTAAATGATTCTAACTTTAGACCTGTCGAACTTTTAATCGAGAAAAACGTTGTGGCTTTTTTTATTTCGGTGATTAAGTTACAAGATAATACTCTGCTCAAAGATAAATTTTAAATGATAAGAAAGTCAATTAAACTGTTGAATATTGACAAAACTACTGATAAAAACATTAAAAAAATTTTCTTTTTTTTCGGATATTTATTATCTTATATTGATGATATAGTTATACTTTTATTCGTTGTTGCGTTTTCATCATCATATTCCAATGATTCGTTGAAAGTAATTACAATATAATATCTATTGACAGATGAAAAAAATATACTAAACTATGTTGTACTTGATATTGGAACAGAAAGAATAGTAGCATATCAATCACTTTCAATAATTGTCCTACAGTGATATTATAATTTCCGAATTCACATATATAGCTTCACACTCGTATGAGCTTGAATTGCAAGTGACAAGAAAATGTCCTCATCGAAACACAAAAACACAACTAGCAGCATATATCGTAATACTAATGAGTAATCACAACAGAATTATTTCAGAGTCACAAAAATAACTTGAATGAAGTTCAAAATCGTTAAGGTTGAAGAATGTTTTCATATTAGTTTGTGATAATAAATAGGTTCCCGATTCCCGAAGGAAACGGGAGTGGACCGAACTCGACGGCACTGCAGTGTCGAGACGATCCGTGGCACAGGTCCGAGTGAACTCGGGTGATCCCGGCCGATGTCCAAAAATCCGCTTGAAAGAGCCTGGCCCCAATGGGACCAGCGCCGGCTTTCAAACCGACGAGAACAGATACTACACTTTGATCTTAGCCGAAAAGGCCGAGAAGCGATAACTATTTTAATAAACTGAAAGCTCGACATTACTCTTCTCCTTACACGTTACCTAGTGCACAGAACAAGAAAAATATGTAATGTGTAAAGACAAAACAGATGTCGTGCACTGCACACTCACAAGAAAAGTTGCTTATTACAACTTATCAAGAGGTAAATGATCAAATCTGATCAAATACATGTTGCGATGACGAAAACGTGCGGATTGGTGGTAACACTAGTCTGCCAGAGCAACATTCTTTTAATAATATAAAAAAGAAGAGAAGCATGCTATTTTCATAATATTGTTTCGATTGAAAACGGTCATATCTATCGTCATGTTCCTTCACACAAGAAGAATTATATTGCATAAGCACATTTCAATGGATAATGTGCACAGGTTTAGAAGATTGTTTCGAAGAAACTATGAAATGAACTTTAATCATGAAATTTTGAATGAAAATGTACATTTGATGTTTCGGAGAAGAAAAAAAATGGGTAGTAAAAGAATTCTGTGTTTTGAGAGAAATGGTCAGCTACTGCAATAAAATGTTTTTTCAACAGGAAAACTTCACTGTTCCATATACACGGATGGTATTATCAATACGACCTTCATCATAACCTTACCATAATTTGATTAAATATTCATCTCTTATGACTTTACGTTTTCGATGTTTTGAAGTTGGAGCTCTCGTGTCATCTCGTATTGTTGCAATTGATGCTAGAGATTGTTCTTTTTTGCAATAAATCAATCACAATGTAAATGTTTAGATCTGGAGAATTTACATGTGTTTTTTCATTCAAGAATGTCGACCTTACAAATAATTAATAGTACGTCGTGTTCCATTACGTTTGGAAAATTTATTGAGATTTTTGTTCTGACGATACATTGATTGCTGCAAATGACTACTCATTTGCTTGTCTCTCTTCGTCAAAATAATCAAAGGAAAGTAAATTTGTGGACAGTAAATCATGCACAGAAATAATGTCCAACTAAATAATAATCTATATGAAACCCAAATTTTCAAAAATATAATCTCTAATTTATGAGAGACGATGAACATTTTCTAGTAGCTGGTTATTCAGGTTAAATGTTCATCTCATATTAAGTAATAGATACTAACTGAATATATTCTGTATGATAATAGTACTTTTATATTTCCATTTTTTTCGAAGAATAACCAACGAATAATTTACACTTGATTATGCTTCATGAGTTTTAAATTCAGTTGCTATAGTGTGATTTGTAAACAAGAATATTATGCTGAATTGATATTTATTACTAGTGTTCATAGAAATTATTCAATATATATTTATTCAAATAATATTAAAGCAGATTTTATTACTTGTTTAAAGAAAAAAAAACATTGGTTTTCGTGTACAGACTTGTTGGTACCATCATTGGATATATTAATATTTAATATATCGAATTTGACATTTTACACGGCATAGATAAATAAATATTTGCTTAAAATACTATTATGATTATTTAACAAATAAGACAAAACGTTCAACAGAAAAATTTTATCGGAAAAAACATTATTTCGCATTCTTATAATTACAGTCAAATGTCGAAAATGATTCAATAAAATTATGATCTACAAAATCGGACTTGGCAATCGAGAATTACATGTTTGACAACGATTGTGAGCAATATCCTGATGGTCATTTCAAAGTATATAAGAAATAGAATCGCATAGAAATTAAAACTATAACAAACATTCAACGATGTCAATCTTCAATAAATAAGAATGATATCTAATGTAATTAAATCGTTTCATAAAAAAAAAATAATTTTGTCATATTAACAGTCTTAACAGATTGTCGTTCATTCTGTCGAATTAATCATTAAGACTAGATTTTCTACACATAAGTTCTAAGAATATGACATTTGATGTAAGTCTTATATGACCATAAAAGATATTACTCTCAACGAAAAAGTGTTGGTTCCAGTTCCGATCCCACAGGGCCGGTACTATCTTGCCTATATCTAGTTTTTATCAATATGCTAGAAGATGAATTTTATAGTACTTTTAATTTTAACAATAAAAGTATTTACTTCACAAGATGCTTTATAGTTCTTTAGTTTTATGTAGAATAAACAGATGGAAACTTGAAAATGTTTCAATTTAAGAAAAATCAATCGATTCTTATTGAAGTTTTAATTCTAACCCTTACAAGCTCTTTACTATTGAATACCTTTATCTGTTAAGTAAAAAACTTTTTCTCTGACCTTATTTTAAACGAAATTTTACATACGAAAAAAATTAATTTATTGACATAAACAATTTTTCTTCGATATTTTACTTCGCTAATAATCATGGCTATAAATTTATAGTTTCAGCAGGTTTTTTTTTTTTCTTTTCTTGTCTTATTGTAAAAGCAGAATATTATCTAATGCATAAAATAATTATTGCTTTAATCTTTCTTTTTTTGTCTTACAGATGACTATGCTCAAAAAATTTGAACAAATGGTTCATTCAGGTATATGTTTGAGTTTTGAGCAGACAAAAAAAACATGAAAGGTACAAAAAAAAAGAGATAGAATAAACAAAGAAAGAGAGAAAAAAATCGTCTACAATGCACAGAAAACAAATTCATATTGCTTTACTTTGCATAGGTATATATATATATATATAAATATATGCTTTCTATTTGTTTGTTAGTTTTGAAATACGATGGGAAATATACATACAAAGACCATGATGAAATGAAATAGGACAGATATTTATTCGATTTTTTTTTGTTTCCTTTTTTCTTTTTTAGACACGTAATGTTGATGAAATTGTTTCTTTCTGTTCTTTAGTAAGTGTATCCGGAAATTTAATGTCGAATTTCACAACAATATCTCCACGTTTAGTTGGTTGTTTTGGAAAGGGTAAACCGTCGCCGGTGAGTCGTTTTTCTGTTGTTGGTTTAATAACTTCATTTAATTGTAATTTACGTACACGAGATTGATCAAGTGTTGGGACAGTAATTGTTGTTCCACATAATGCCTTAAATTACAAAAAAAAAAATAAATAATTAGTTATTTTTTGTTTTTCTTTCATGAAGAACTTCATCAATTTTTTTTGTATAAACTAAGTCAAATTATAATGCACGAAAGCGTGCCGGCATTACTTTGAATCCGGATTGAGCCTTACTCTTAATAAAAATTTTTAATATACACCTGATAGCCGCTCCGAAAATATGAGATACATTTTTGCAATTAATTGTGAATGGCGGCTAATATGTTCTATAAACTTCTCATGCAATTTTGACAATGATCTCGTAAGAACCAAATTATAGTTGATTCCTACTTTTAGAGTAGCGTTCGTCGGAATGATTTTAAATTTGATAAGGTCCAAGTTCTATCCGACGAACTCTAGCTTACATGTCTTATTATGTCTTTTGAGTATTAGAAATCAGGAATAGAGAATTCTCGTTCTCTTCAACTATTTACAAGACCTATTGTTCATAATATAGGTAAACTTGTCATGATAAAATCTTTCATCTTGCATCATCAAATGAATAGCTCGAGAATATTTTTCATATCTTCACTCGAAAAGAAAAAACCTCGTCCAGAATCGAATGAAAACAATCCTCTTTTTTTCTCTTCTTAACCTCAAAAAATACCGCATACATTCGATTGCGTGTGTTTTTGATTAAGTAATACTCTCATTCTTTTTCTCTCTCTACATTTTAAATATGATGTAATCATTTGACAAAATAATGATCGATCGATTTGTTAACTATATTACTTTGAACTTACATCTTTTAGATTGATTTTTGCTGTATAAAGAAGATCACTACCATCTCGTCGAAATACAGGATGTACTTTATCTTTGATAATAAACACAATATCAGCTGGTATTGTCGATGCACTTTGATCACCTTCACGTGGAAATGTTATTTTTGTTCCTTGTTTCCAACCAGGTTTTATTTCAATAGTTAATACTTTATCTTCCATACGAGTTGTACGATTGTCTGGATTTAAAACTTTTCTTGAAATTTTCATTTTTTTTGTTGTGCCAGATGCTATTTCTTCAAGTGATACAAATAATTCATGTTCAACAGGTGGATCTTGAGTTTTTTTTCGTTGCATTTGACTTTGTGGGCCACCACGACCGCCCATACCAGCTCCTCCAAAATGAAATCCACCAAGACCTGGAAATCCACCAAAACCAACTCCTGGTCCGTCATCATCATCACCTTCACCACCAAAAAACATTGCAAATGGATCAGCACCATTCTATTAGAAAATAATTTTAATTTTAATTTTAAAAGAAATTTCTGTCTTTTTTGTTTTTATCCTTACAAAGAACATACGAAACGTTTGATGAGGATCAACATTAGAATAGAAGAATTGTTGACCTGCACCACCGGGACCACCGCCGCCACCACCGGCTTTCAATCCTTAGAAGAAGAGAAAAATATATAAAATAATTAATTTAAAAATAAATCTCAATAGTTTGATATCATACCTTCTTCACCGTATTTATCAAAAATTTCTTTCTTTTTTGGATCGGATAAAACTTCATAAGCTTCAGCCACTTCTTTAAATTTTTCTTCAGCTCCAGCTTCTTTATTTTTATCGGGATGATATTTTAATGCACTAAATTAATCTTCTCAATCATTTCAATTGTTTAGAAGATTTATTTTAACTTACAGCTTTCGATAAGCTTTTTTAATATCATCATCAGTGGCACCTTTGCTTAAACCTTAAAAATAAAAATAAATTAATAATTAAAGTTAAATAAAATATTATTTTTACCTAAGATTTTGTAATAATCTTTGCCCATGTTTTAATGTTTTTGATAATATATATAAATATGTCTGTATAAATATATATATATTGAGCAAAAATCAAATCTATAAAATATTAATATTTATATATACAATCATAAGTATGATTAATATTTTTATTTTTATTTTTATGTTCTTCTTTTCTTTTCAAAACTATGTCGAACTGTAATACCTACTTTATAACATGTAATTCGTTCATTTTTTTTTCTCTCGCTCTCTGTATTGTACGTGATGATTATGTGTGGACTACAACGACAACAACAACCATAACATGCGCGGTCTTCTCTCTTCTATAATACACTCTCTTTTGTCGTTCTTTCGTGAGAAAGAAAAAGAAATTCTATTCAAGAAGCTACTCGAACAATCGAGAATCGTGGCGAAGCTTCCCTTCAGCAACAGAACAGCCCATATGATCAATACATGTTATTTATTCTAAACACAACAGAAAAGAAAAATTTTCAGATTAGTTAGTGTAATTACCAATCCATAAACGAAGTCGCTACAATCAAATTCTTTTAACTGATATCACCATGGACATTAATATAAAAATGGCGATGATCTATTTCTAGATATAATTAAAAGAAGCAAATAATGTTTAAAGTAATACTGAACTGACATGTAATCATTCGATGAAAATTTATTTCTAGTAGTTGACTTTGTTGATCATTTCGACTAGACATACCAGTAAAGGAAAATATCAATAAAAAGTCAGATTTATCAGTAAGATGCTCATATCAGATATAAAGAATTTATTTTGCTTAATCTTGTTGTATTCAAGTTTATTAAATTAAGATCCAAATGTCTAGAAAATCTTTTGCTTTGTTAATAGGTAGATCTAATGAGATAAATGGAGTGATAATGTGACGAATGAACAAGAATGACACGACTAGACTTATATAATTTGTATGAGTATCATTGTTATAATAATTAAATAGATAGTATTCGATTGTATCATTATGCTTGGGGAGAAGGTAAAGGAAAATTAAATGTTTATTTTTGATTAAGAGTATGGATCGAGGTTCTATATTTATTAAAATTGTTATTTTCTATGAATTGATAATCTATTAACTGATGGACAAAAATATCTTCCAGTATTTCGATATAAAAATGAGTATTATAAGGTTTCTTTAGTATTTTATACAAAAAATCAAGTTTTGATTATTCAGAAAATATATAATGAACGCTTTATTTGAGTCTTAAAAAATTTAGATGTAGATAAGTGATAACTTCAAACAAATGGTACTCACTCACACTATCTCTCTTAACAAAGTTAATATAATTTTGAGATGTATGATCATTCGATTTTTTGAAATTGAGTAAAGACTTCGTTTTTTGTTTGAGACGTTTTGATAACATGGATAATCGAATAATACATATTGACATAATTATTTTGATCACTTATTCAAAATCTATTTTAAATCAATTAACACAGTGTTGGTTATATGATATATTGAACAAGTTGTTACAATAAAACAGAATCTGACGATTATAGTTTTCATACAAGCTCAGAATTTAAGTGAATAAACTATTTTTAAATAATAGTTTTCGGTGTCTGTTTCTTTATAAAAAAAAATTAGATGTATATCTTATGACAATGGACAAAACTTTGATATTTTATTAATATTTTGATATCTTCAAGTATATTGATCTTAAACAACTAGCAGCATCATCTATCACATCAAGTTTTAGATGACGATAATGTGCACATATTCGATTATCAAATACAAATATAATGCAGATTTTTGTTCTATCGTAGCGATAAAACATTAATTTGTTACAAATAACAAAACTTGATCCTATAAGTCAATGTGCTTTCTTGAGTTTTATGGAGTGTTGCTCATGAGGGAATATTTGCAGATGTCAATACACGTACGAGTTGGGACTTAATGCATTCTGTAGATCTTAGTGAACAATGTCTACCATAAAAAGAATTTCGTACTTATGATCTGTTTTTGATGAGAGCAAACGGTATTATTGAATATCCGCTGTAGGATCCCATTTTTGCAACAAGATTATATTTTTGAATTTCGATCTGAAATTTCACTTGCATAACTATTTCAAATAGACTAACTTACACAAAAAGAATCTCAGAATTATTGTATTAAGCCTTTCCGAAATATGAAGCTTTCAAAAACTACACGCTGTATATACTATCTAGAGACAAGAGCCCATACCTTGAAAGTTTCATATCTCAGAGAGATTTCGTACAAAAATTTTGAACTTTTTTTTTTGTATTAACTAGTCTAATCGAAGTCTTTATGTAGGCGCAATTTCAGATTGAAATTCGAAAATGTAGTGTTGCTGCAAAGAGTGAAGTCCTACAGCGGACATTTCCTGTTGATCATCGAGCGTTTATTTTAGAAACTTTTTCAGATCAAATATTTTTTTCAACTAGATTTCTTTTCGTCGTAGATTCGGTTTTAAATGACTCTACCAATCTCTGACCAATGTACAGTTGAATAATTTTTTTGTAGGGATGACGTCTTCTATTGTCATAATTGCATGTAGTTCTATTTTCTATTTAGAATTTTTATTCATTTTCTTCTTTTACGTTTTTAATTTATGAATAAAAACAAATATGCAAGGTTTTTTCAACAAAAACTTATTTAACATCGATTTTTACATATAAACAATTTATCTTTTTTTGTTTTTTTCAAAGCTGTTCTTATCTAACTACAGTAAAACCTCTATATGTGAACACCCCTCCTTAATGAACGCTTCTAGCCGGTCACAAAAATCGATTTTTGCTGGAAATAGACCTCTCCTTTATGAACACCTCCTTATTATGAACGCTTTTTACTGGTCCCGAAGGTGTTCAGATTAGAGAGGTTTTACCGTAAATTTAAAAAAAAAATAGATCAATAAAGAGAGATCTATATTCCTCACGTTATTAACAGAATTCTCTTTTACTTTTAATTCATGTTACAGCTATTTCATTTTATACAAGTATCGTTTTTTTTTCATCTATCGCTTTATAACCTTATGTTAAATGGAATTTCTTATAAATCATGGTATATCCGATTTTAATCGGCATAGGGATAGTTTTAAAGAGCACTCTAACAAATGTGAATTTATTTTATTTCTACATCTTTTTTGTCGTTCTTGTGTACAAATGTACGGATTTCTCTTCTAGTGATACATTCTGTATATATCAAGGTCAATCTTTTTTTGTGTTTCTCTCTCTTTCTCTCACTCTTGAGTATGTGGACGTACGTTGGATAATGAATAATACCTGAAGTTTTCTTACTAAATCAGTTTTTTAATTACTGAAAAAATAAGAAATTTTCTTGTTTTCCCTAAACTTTTGCTATAGTGAAGGGCCTCTGCAATACTGATAAGTTTATAGAATTATTAGATTATGGTTGGATGTATGAAACAAGAAAAAGAATAGGGATATTATGCATGAAAGAAAGATCAATGTTTTCCTTATGATATTAAGTGGAGCCATGGCTTTATTTTCGTTCTCTATAATGTTTTGTATCTTTTGATGTTCCCATTAGTTCATTCTGTCATAAATAGAATTTTGTTGTTCATCGTATTAATTTGTCATGTTTTGCTAGTTTCTCATTGACCCTCGTGCATTGTGACGCAAGTATATATCTCGTTGTGTTAATGGATCACTAAAGCTTAGTATCTATTTTAGGTATAATTTCTCAATGATTTCTTCGGTAGCATCTGCAAATATAATTTGAATATACTATTGAACGTAACATATATATGTAGGTGCTGTATGTTAGCATGCAATTTACACATTTACAGTCCGCACATTAATACGAAGAGTTGTATCGTCGATTATTTTCAAAATAAAGATGAACTAATAAAAGTTATAGTCAACAAGAAGAATGATATACAGAGATGTCATGAACATTCCTCGTTTCAAAAATGAGGTGGCTCATGCCTTTCTAACTTGTGAATATGACAAATTAAAGTCTCTGATTCACATCAAGTGATCATTTACCTTGAAGTTACTAACTCTTGCTTGATAAGGCACTATATATCATGTTTTCTCCTCTACTTCTTTACGATATGCATCATTAACGATTTTGTATATTAATCATGCCATCGATTTACTAATAGATCGAAAATAGATTGTACATTTTAACTTATTTTGAAATTAATTTATAATGCGTAGGCTAGTAATGTGAAGACTGATGCAATTGCTGTGAAGGATGAATCGAAACGTGTGAGATATTTGTACTTTTATATTGCGTCAAAAAATTGAATTCGTATATAAATGCAATGCAGTGTCTTTTTTCCAGTATACACAAACAAGATACTAACGTACAGGTAGATTTCGAAACGTCGAACAACTATGAACCAGCAACATATTGTTTTATTCATTGTAATTACTATGATGGTGGCTAATGCCTGTGGAAACGATTTGGAAGTTACAATAGTTTCGACACGCCCAATATTTGATAAAACACAGGATGTAGTAGTGAAAGTGCAATATAATAACACAGGTGACCAAATAATATCGATTTATAACTGGTGTTTAGAAGGCAATGAATTAAATGATCCATTATTCAAAGTAACCTGTAATGGTATTCCAGTTGAATATATCGGTCCACTGATGAAACGACGTGAGCCGACAGAAGAAGATGTGACCCCTGTAGCACCTGGCAAAACTAAGATCATTCATGCTCGATTATCATCAGCATACGATATGACCAAGACTGGCAGTTATTTAATCCAATATAATATGCCAAATGAGCGTGTTATCTTCAAGCATATTCAAACATTGAAGATTAGCCCTGTCGAACCCATTACTAACGTTCTATCTGATATAAAGTCGAATTCTGTTCAATTGAAAATCGAAGGTCGTCCTAACGTCCAGCGTGAACACAATTACACTATGAATGTGCGTAAAACAACAGCCACTCTTTGTTATATTTCTTGTTCGACAACGCGGAGATCCCAGATTAGCACTGCTATTTCTTCGGCTCTTATCTATGCCAATAACTCTTTGAATTATTTGAATAACACGTTACCCTCTGGAACAAACCGCTATAAGACCTGGTTTGGTACATTTACGTTGATTAATTGGGAAACGGTGAAGAGACACTTCCAAAATATCAAAAACGTATTTAATTCGCAGGTTATGACTTTGAATTGTGGATGCAATAAGAAGGACGTTTATGCCTACGTTTATCCGAGTCAACCGTACACAATCTACTTATGTTCGTCGTTTTGGTCAGCTCCAATGACAGGTACTGACTCGAAGGCTGGTACACTTATTCACGAAACTTCACACTTCACAATTGTGTCTGGCACGCAAGATTATGCATATGGTCAGGCAGCATCCAAAAGTCTGGCTTTGAATAGTCCGTCGAAAGCAATCACGAACGCCGACAGCCATGAATATTTTGCCGAGAATAATCCTGTGCTTTTGTGACAGACTGAAATAAATTCGAACTTAACTAAGAAATATTTTTGCGTGAATAATGCTTACGACGTGATATGCTATTCATTTTCTTTTATACAAAGAACTCCTCATTTTAATTTTTTTTTGTGGCTAAAAACTTGAAGATAAATATGATACATTGTACAGCATCTGTAGATTTCTTAATCATTTACTAGAATTTTCCTTTTTAAGTTTTTAATGGAATTTTATTGTATTGCTTAATATACAGTTTCATTAATAAATAAGTTCGGTTTTTTCATGTGAATGTTTCGACAGTTCTGCTTAAATATCATGTGAATGATTTTCACAAATAGTCAAGGACCGCATTTTAATATCGTATATAATAACTTCCTTTTGTTCGTCAATCGTCTGCAACTGTCTTCGTCTGTATAAGATATCCTGGTATGATCATATTTTGGTCTGTGAAACTTGATATTATTACTATTGATATTTTTGTTTCTTTCTTATTTCTGTATTTGCAATCGATAATTATAAAATTTGAGGTCACATTTTCATTTAGTAATAGAATGTGAAACGCTGTAATTCAATCCTAAACAATAATGAATCCATCATATAAGGTTTTTGTTAGACAAACCTACTTGTTTTCATTCATAGTTTTTGCTTGAGTACTATATCAATATGCTGCGCTAGTGCAGTATAACAAGTTTCAAAATCACTCTTAGGTGTAATATTTACGATTGTAAATTAATGTTTGTCATGTTTGAATGTATACGCTGTGTAAATTTAACCCAATATATATTATAGTACAATAACTATATTCATCTTCGTTCCAACAATTGAGGTTTCAATATAATATCAGTTTATGCGATTGATTTCGATAACATGAATAGGTAAAATTTATAGGATAATATAAACTCTTTTGAATTAATATCTTTACATAGAATGAAAAAAGATTCTTTATTTTATAAATTTGCATTATTTACAATTGAGAAATTTTAGAAAACAATTCAATATAATGAAAGTCTGCACTTTCATAGTATACAGTTAAATGAAAACACACTTCAAAAGAGTATTCGATCTACTGAATGAATTAAGAAAGTATGAAGGCAGAATAATATATTTTTTTCTTATATTGGTTGAGAACGAATTATTTAATATTTCTACTAATAATCTAACTAGAGTGCTTTGAACGCCATCTATATTCATGTATGTATAAGAATCTAGTAAGAAACATTTTCTTTATATATTAGAATATCTTAAAAGTTTTGAGTGTAATTTCACTTCATTCTTCTCAAATATATTTAATAGTTTATCCACACATTCCAACACCATCATATTTCTAATTGGTTACTTCAATAAATCTGATCATGTCGTCGTCGTCATCATAGATGAATATATGGATCCATTCGTCATTTGTATTTTATTCTATAGTTAGTCTTTCATCAATCGACAGATTTTCTTTGAATGCTGACTACCATATTATGTCCTCGATGTGTACGGTTTATTAATCATTTTTCGGTTGCGGTTTTACAAATTCGTTACATTTCAACAACAAATGAGACTTTACCAACACCGTTAGACGATGATAACGATATAAATGATAACATAAATAGAAATATTTCACGTTTACCAGATGATGTCTATCGACATTTTAAAGGTAACAATATGTGCAAATATTTCTTGCATATCTACATATTTATAGGATAGGTTTACCACCGCTTGAAATTAAAGAACAATATCATACTCGAACAAAATTACGTGCACTCTGGGGTAAATATGGTCGAAAAACAGATATAGATCCAAAATTATGTTGGCCAACACAAGATGAAATGGATGAGATCATTGATGATGAACGTGTATACAATATGGAATTAAGTGAGAAAATAAAAATAGTCAAAGAACGACGTGAAGCCAAACAAAAAGAAGCCGATCAAATGTAAGTTAAAGAAGATTTCGTTATTATTGTTGTCAATATTTTTGTTTTTGTTTCTATTTTTCTTTTCTAGTCAAGCTAAAGTCGAAAAAAATCTCAAAAATATGCCAAAAATGATAGACGATTATCATAAACGAACGATTGAACGTGAACGTGCTAAAAAAGCTGAAATTAAAGTTAAAAACGATTTAGCTGAACAAGCACGTGATTTTTATGGATTTTCAGTAGATCCAGACGACGAGCGTATGCAATTTATGTTATTACAATTAGAAGAAGCACAAAAGGCTGAAGACAAGAAAGCACGTAAAGCAGCTAAGAAATTAGAAGCACATCAACAATTACAAAAACTAATGGGCATGGCATCAACAACAGAGGATACAAGTGAAGGTGGCACTGCACCAACGGTTGATCCATTAGCACAAATACCTGAAGCAAAAGATAAAGAAACAGATATGAAATTATTTGCTAAACTTGTTTCTGAACGTAGTAAATTAGCAAAAGCAGCATCAAGAATAGCTGAAGAACAAGCAGCTGTTCAGTTGAAAGGACAAAAGAAAAAATAATACATAAAAACAAAATTTGTATTTACACATATTTAGGTTTGTTTTTTGTTTTTCAGATTTAATTAACCATAAGTCTAAATTATTGTGTTAATCAAATCGGTGTCATTAGACTTTATTTAAATTAAATTATTGTGTCATTAATTCGAAACAATAGTTTTAGTTCTTAAACTATTATTCGATAATGGTAATGTCGATGGTTAATAAACATTTATTCATCCATTAGTGGTGATTGTAATTAGTAGGTAGGTTTAACTAATGCATCTTTTCAATGCTAATTTCTATCACTAAGAAAAAAAAAACTTATCTGTAGAAAATGTCAACAGTATATGAAATCTTTGTATTTTATTATCTTTTGCTTCTGGTATATGAATAAACAAATAAAATATAACTTATTGATCATTATAAATATCCTAAATCAAATGGAAATTAATAGAAAATCATTAATTTTAACAAAAGAAAATTTATACCTATTGTAAAATCTTTAAATATAATTTAAATCTCAATGTTTCATTATACATAATAAAAATTCGATAGAAACCTCATAAACTTTAATAACGTTTATGACATATTACCTTATTTATTGAATATAATTTCAGGTATTCTTATTGAAGCATTTGTAATTATTGAGTAAACAAAGTAAGAAGCGGAAAAAAATCATAGAAATTTTCTTTCTATTACCAATGAGCAAGCGACGTAATTGTTTCATTATTGAAAATAATCGTTTCGACTATGGGAATAAAGTACAACTGTACTTTTATCTCGATAGTAAAGGGAGTATAGATCGAAAAACTACTATAGAAAAAAGTAAAACAAATAGGAAACAAAATAAAATGATGATTTTTGTTTAAAAACAAGACACCGTCAGAAAAATTGGACTATTTTTTCATTACTTGTAAGAAACATTAAATCATAGATATGAAATATAATAAAATATCTCAATTTGTTATTTTCTACAAAAGATTTCACCTACTTCAAAAAATAATAATTTTACATTTGTTTTTCTTTTAGATAATGACTCAGCAATAAGCAAAAAAAAGAAAAGAAATTTCGAGTATGAATGAAGTGGATATTATTCCGGAACAAAATTCACTTGAAATATCCAGAACAAATCAATATACAATAAATGATGATAATAATGACATATTACCAACATATATACCACGATTAGCTGAACCAATTATTATACGTGGTGCTGGTCATGTAACTGTATTTGCATTAAATAATAAATTTGATGAAGAATATCCACAAGCTTTAACACATAAAGTATCACGAGATGAATATCAAGAAACGATCAAAAGAGTTAATTTAATTCTACGTAAAAATGTTCCAATTAATTTTAAATGGTAAATATTTTTCTGGAATAAAATTTTATTTATTTATTTATTTATTTATTTAAGGTTACTTTGCGGTTGTATATGTTGTTGTTGTACAATAGGACTTTCATTATGTCCTGTATTATGTTTAAATAGACGTTCAAAAGATGCTGTAAGTAAAATTCTTGATTGGGAAAATGCACGTCTCTATCATAAACTTGGTTTACATTGGCATTTAACAAAACAAAAATGTCCAAATAATGCTGTACAAGAGTATGTTCTTATGATTGAATTTCGCCCACCTTTATCTTTATCTCATCCAGATTAAATTATTTTGTTTTACTATTGTATTTGTATATGTACAAAAAACAAAAAAAAAAGAAAAGAAAACAAATAAAAATAAATAAATAAATAAAAATTTTTGTCCTTTATATTTGAACAGAAATTCTTTATTTCAGATTATCAGCTTGTTTTTCTTATTGTTTTAAAATTTTTTTATTTCAAACAATAATGACAACTCAACCATCATCAACAACAGTACATCATGCTATTGTTAAATCAATTTTTTCCGGCGATACACTTGTTATTAAATCATCAACACGTTCATCAACTAATGACAGTGAACAACGAATTTCATTAAATTATATAACAGCACCTAAATTAGCACGTCCACCAACTGATGCAGGTGCTGGTGGATCAACTGTTGATGAACCATATGCATTTGAAACACGAGAATATTTACGTAAAAAATTAGTTGCTCGAGAAATATGTTATACAATTGATTTTCAAATACCACAAAGTAATCGTTTAATGTGTACAGTTTATTTAGGAAAAGATAAAGATACAGGTGAAAATATTATTGAATCATTATTATCTGAAGGTCTTGTTGAATTACGACAACAAACTGGTGCACGTGCTAATGATCCTAAATATCAACGTTTAATTATTATTGATGAACAAGCTAAAGCAAATAAACGTGGACGATATTCAGATCAAGTATCTGATGTTCATGTACGAAATATAAAATGGACAATAGAAAATCCTAAACAATTTGTTGATGAACATAAATCACAACCACCATTAGATGCTATTGTTGAATTTGTACGTGATGGAAATACTGTACGTTGCCTTCTTTTACCATCATATTATTTAGTAACACTACAAATAACGGGTATTAAATGTCCTATATCAAAACGTGAAGGTAGTTCAATAAATGAAACCAGTGAACCTTTTGCTGAAGAAGCTAAACAATTTGTTGATACACGTTTATTACAACGACAAGTTAAAGTTATTTTAGATGGAGTTAATAATCAAAATTTAGTTGGAACATTATTACATCCAAATGGAAATATTGCATTACATCTATTAAAAGAAGGTTTAGCTAAATGTGTTGATTGGAGTTTAACTTTATTACAACAAGGATGGAGAGAAAAATATCGTGCTACAGAAAAATATGCTAAAGATAATCGATTAAAAATTTGGAAAAATTATGTTCCACAACCAGGTCATGCTGATAATGAAAATAATCTTAGTAGTGATACAAATTCGACTGCAAGTAATGGAAAACCTAGTGATCCAACATTGAAAGGATATCAGGTAAATTTGATTAATATTTTTCAACTTTTTCTAATTTACATTATAATAAAAATGAATGATACAATTTTAATCTATTTATAATTTATTTCATTTTTCAGGCTAAAGTTTTGGAAGTAATCAACGGTGATGCTTTAACTATTCGTGATTTACGTGATAATTCAATCAAAAAAATCTATCTGTCATCAGTTCGTGCACCACGTGCTGCTGATATGCAACAAAAAAATGATGAAAACAATCCAAATGCAAATCGTCAACAAATAAGACGGCCCCTTTATGAAATTCCATATTTATTTGATGCCCGTGAATTATTACGTAAACGTTTAACTGGTAAAGTTGTACGTGTTGTTACTGATTATATTCAACCAGCAAGTAGTGAATATCCAGAAAAAATTTGTTGCAGTGTTTATGCTGGTAATGTTAATCTTGGTGAAGCTTTAATTTCAAAAGGTTTAGCAAAAGCTGTACGACATCGACAAGATGATGAACAACGATCATCTCATTATGGTAAATTATATTTTTCTTAATAATTGATTTATATAAATTAAATTTTTGTCTTTTTTATTTTTCATTAGATGATCTTCTTACTGCTGAACAACAAGCAGAAAAACGTGGTCTTGGATTATTTTCAACTGCTAGTGGTCTTCATCGTATTGTTGATATGACTGGAGATACAAATAAAGAACGAGCTAAAGGTTTATTAAGTGTTCTTCAACGTAATGGTCGTATGGAAGGTGTTGTTGAATTTATTGCAAGTGGTTCTCGTTTTCGTATACATTTATTAAAAGATAATTGGATTATATCATTTTTATTATCATCAATTAATTGTCCACGTGCTGAACGACGTGTTCCTGTGAGTGGAAATCCTCAACAACAAAAAGTTGAACCGGGTGAACCATTTGGTGCTGAAGCATTAACATTTTCAAAAGAACATTTCTTACAACGGTAGATTAAAATTTCTAATAAATCGGAAATATATTTATCCGATTAATTAAATCAAAAAAAAAAAACTTACCTCGATTTTCTTCTTCTCTAGAGATGTTTTTGTTGAAGTTGAAAATATGGATCGTGGTGGTAACTTTATTGGTCGTTTAACAACTGCTGATGGACATTCAGCTGCTCTTATGCTTGTTCAATCTGGTCTTGCTAAAGTTCATGATTCAGCATATGGTGCACCAAATTATAAACAATTATTAGAAGCTGAAGAAAAATGTCGAAAAGAACGTACTGGTGTTTGGACTAATTATGAAGAACCTACATCAAAAGATGAGGATGAAAATGAAGGTGAAAATAATCCTGAAGGTAATCTTTGTTCCTTTTTTATTTTTTGAATTATTCAAAAAAATCATTTTTTTTTTTTGTAAATTCTTTGGTACATCAGAGGAAGTTGTATTAGGATCAGGTATAATTAATTTTAATGATCCAAGATTTCGTCGTGTTGTTGTTACTCATGTAACAACGGATTTAAAAGTTTATGTGCAATATTCTGAACAAGGATCTAAAGTTGAACAATTACAATCTGAATTACGTGAAATATTTAATCAAACTAGACCTGTTGGTGGACATACACCGAAAAAAGGTGAATTATTAGCTGCACGTTTTGCAGCTGATAATGAATGGTATCGTGCACGAGTTGAAAAAATTGAAGGAAACAATCGTATATCAGTTTATTTTGTCGATTATGGTAATCGAGAATTAATTACTGATTTAGGTCGACTGACAACATTACCACCAGGTATGTATTTTTTTGAGTTTTTCTTTTCAATTAACATTAAAAAAATGATATGATTTCATTTTGATAGATAGGGAAAGATTATCTAGCTAAGTTTGAACTCATAAATTCTTGAGAAAAAAAATCATATTAAGTTTCAACATGTTATAATCAAATATTCACAAAAACCGATTTTCGAAACTTCTTCTATTGCTAAAGCAGACTCTACATGATCGGAATTCGATATACTTTAGCATGTAACAATAGTATAGTTAGCAGTCTCAAATGAAAATTGGTAACTCGCTGAATGTGTGAAGAATCTAAGATGACGACCGATTTTCTATGCTGTCGACATGTACTTATACTCAGAGCAACTAGTTCTATTTAGAAAAACACTTGCTCTTGGCGTATTCACCAACTAAAAGAAGTCATACGAATAACATTAGACTGATAAGTCATTAAAAGCGAAATAATTTACGAAGGAACATTCCCAGGTGATCTGTGCCGTTTGTCTCTATATTTGGCTCATATATAGAAGATCACTAGACTAGTGTAACCTCCAAAGAATTCCTATTCGTATTTAGAGTTGGCCACGATAGCAAATTTCCAGTTGATTCCTCTTGCCGGAGTTCAATTTTCGACTAAAATCATATTTGGAAATTGCAGCCTGAAACATTGTACACATGAAGTTTTCAATTAGACTACCTCATGCAAACTGTTTCATCAGTTTTGATTATCGCACTGCCAAAATATGACTTTCTCAATATATTTCTATGTTACAAAGCACTTAAAGAAAATCATAGATATATTGAGAAATCCATATCTTGACAATGAGATATTCAAAACTGATGAAACTTTATACATGAGATAGTCTAATCAAAAACATCATGTGTACCAAGTTTCAGGTCGAAATTCTCAAATCTGATTTTTTTTCGAAAAATGAACTCCAACAAGAGAAAACTATTAAAAGTTCGCTATTTCGACCAAATCTAAACATGAGCAGGAATTCTTTGGAGATTATGCTATTGCAGTGATCTGCAACAGTAGAGCAACATATGGAGTAAACAGAGCAGATCACCTGAAAATATTCCCCCGTTAGCTTTTTTCTTCTCTTCATTTGCAATTTTTTAAGTATTTCACAAAATAGATGCCTAGATATCTATTCTTACCCTTTGGTGTTTTATAGGTTTTTTACAATTACCAACTCAAGCTCATGAATGTGAATTAGCTTATGTTCGAGCTCCACCTGATGAAGATGATCGTCAATATGCTAAAAATGCTTTACTTGATGAAATGGACAATCAAGAATGTTTAATGAAAGTCGAATATCGTCAAAATAATGCCGAACATGTATCACTCTATCGTGCTAGTACAAAAGAAAACCTCGTCAAAATATTAGCCGAACAAGGTCTTATTGTTGTTGCACAAGGACGTGGTAATCGTCAATTACGTCTAACACCATTATATGAGGAATTACAACAAGCACAAGCAAAAGCAAAATCTTCACGTATTGGTCTTTGGCAATATTCGGATCAAATCGAAGATGATGCAACTGAATTTGGTTTTACAGGACGAAAATAAATATTTACAAAAAAAAAAAAAACAAAAGATTTAATTTGATTGATTACAAATATTTACCATCAATTTTAGCTTCATTTCTTTTGTTTTTAAAAAAAATTCCATTGTTTTGTTTTCTTTTTATTTCTGTTTGACAATATATACACACACATACATACATGCATACTTTTGGTTATAAATATATTTATTTATTTATTCTGTTTTTGCTTGTTTATTGTTCATGGAATGCTCAAGAGAATATCCATCTAATAACTTTGATCATCTTGTTATTATCGTTAATAGCTTTTCATTTTTTTTTTAATGTATCTTGGGAATTTTTATTGTTTGTTGTGTGTATATGTATGAAAAACAGTTTTTGTTTGTTTTTGAAAGATTATTAAAAAGAAACTATTGATAAGGAATTTATGATACTCTGATTCTATTGATTATAATTCACTGATGATTGATACAAATTATGAATGAGAAATAAAACAAAAAAAGGGTTGTGCCTCACTAATTGGCTTGTCAATGAAATCAAAAAAAAACAAAATGCACATTCAAGTCATCAATTTCAAGGTCTAATCGTTTTTTTCTTTTTTGTCTGACAATATGAATGGTTTGCCCAATAAAAAACCGTTACCTGAATACATAAACAACAAAAAGAAAAATCAAAGTGTTCTTTGTTATGAATTCTCGAAAAAGTTTCGTATGAGTTTTTTCTTTCGTTGACATCAGACACAAATGATCAATTGCTATACTTTTAGTATATTTATATCTTGATTTGTTCTTATCGTACATACTCATTGCTATCGGCGCTTTTTCGTCTCGCATTATGCATACTCAATCACTATGTCATCGTATTCCGTTCACTCTTAATATTATCTTTATGTACGTATGAATAACGATGTCGGTCTGCACAGATACACACTACTACACCAAATCGAAGTAATATAGAACAGGGACATAAAGCGAGCAAGCGAAGAAAAAAAGAAGAGAAACAAATAAAAAGAGGGATTCACTGTACACACACGTTTGCACTGTCATTTGTTCGTCCCACTATTTGTATCACTCATTCAATCATCGAATATTCAATCATATATAAAATGTTTTCTGCAACAAAGCCATCATATGGAGGAGCATCCAATTTTCATCAGGCTTTAGCATATGAAGCACGTCTTAATCGACTTCATCGTCTATTTAAAACGCATTTCAATGTCACTGAACCATCACTTATACTTGAACCATATTTATTTCTGGGCAATTGCATTTCGGCACAGGATATTCATCGTTTATCAAGATTAGGCATCCGTTATATCCTCAATGTAGCTAAACGTGATGTTGAATTATGTCCATATTACCCTAATGATGTGCGCACACTTACTATTGATCTTCGTGATGATGATCGGGAAAATATTTTACGTGCATTTGATCAAGCATTTGCGTTTATTGATGAAGCTAGACGTTCAAAATCTCGTATACTAGTTCATTGTAGTCATGGACAAAGGTAAGCAAATAAATCTCTAAATGAAAGCAACAAATAAATACAATTAAATGTTTTTTGTAATCATTTGTATAGTCGATCACCTGCTATTGTTATTGGTTATCTTATGCGTACATATAATGTTTCATTAGAACAATGCCTTACTCATGTTGTTAAAGCTCGTCCATGTGTTATACCTAATGATGGTTTTTTGAAACAATTAATTCTTTTTGATCGTTTTCTTAACGATCGTCGTCTAAAACAACAAGCAGCAGCTGCCATGCAGACTACCAAAAGAATATCACCAACTGAAATTCCAATTCAACATCATCCATCTGTTGCTTCTAAGTCTATGAAACCACCAATTCCACCGAAATTAACTCCAGCACAACATCCAACTGATCCAGTTTCTAATACTGCTAATGCGTCATCAGTAAATTCAGCAAGTGTAGAATCATCAGCAAATTCAGCAAGTGTAGGGCCATCAGTAAATTCACCAAATGTAGTGTCATCATCAAAGTCAACTATAGATTTAGCATCAAAATCAACTATGGATCTAGCATCAAAATCAACTATGGGTTTAGCATCAAAATCAAGTATTCAATCCTCAGCAAGTACTAACTCAATACATGTCATTCCAATTCAAATTGCATCAAAAGAATCAAGTCCAGACAAAGTAAATGAGTCACTTCCTCCTAACCTAATTTCTAAATCTTCTTTTTATTATTATTATTTCTTAAGATTGAACTAACTCAATTAATAGAAGTGCCAACTGATGACCACACTAGCAGAAAAGATACACATAAGAATGGTAATCGTTTAGAAGCAAAAAACATAAAACAACCGCAAGCACCTAGCCCAAATAGACTTCCGACTTCATCATCACATAATGTATTAGTAAATAAGAACCGATCAAGTAAAAAAAAGATAAATTTTATTAAACCAGTTCCAACGCAAATATCACGATCTAAAACAGACGATTTTGCCCGTTCGCATGGCAATCATTATCATAATCATCCTTCGGCTACTCTTACTCCAGAACAATGGAACATTATTAATAATATGCCTCCAACTTATTATAATTCCAATCCATATAAAAAAACAAATTATATAACTGAAATTTATGATAGAGCAACAAGACGATTTATTCCAACTGCATATTGTTGTTAGGAATATTTCTTTTCATATGATCCTTTTGTGTGTCTGTGTGTATATCAATATTTATTAATATAAATTAAAACATAGACTTTATTGGCAAAAAGCACAGACTACCGTACTTATATATTTTTTTTCTCATCAACATACAAATTCACTCGATCACACTTATTAATATTGTATGCAATTCATATGTTCATACATTTTTGACATATAAGAATGATTAATGTCCAGGCATATGTATTTGTGATAGAATATCAAAATAATTGGATTCTACATTAATAAAGAAAAAGAATAGGAAAAGAAAATTAATTTCATTTAAAAAATAAAATCTAACCTTGTTCAGGTGTGATAAAACCATGACGAAAAAGGAAATCAAGTACAGCAACAGCACAATTAGGCTTGAAATTATCTTCAATAATAGCTTGTTTTACCTATTGATGTACAAAACAACAAAAAGAAATTAAATTTTGTACAAGGTAGTTACTTGAGGTATTGTCCATAGATAAAAATTTTCCATTTCACTATCGAGATTATTTGGTGTAAAAGTAGTTGGTAGTTGAATATCATAAAGAAATTCTCCCTATAATATAAGTAAATAAAATGATCATAGATTCATTGTGGTTTTTTTTTAATGTACTTACTTCAGGATGTATACCATCATCATCTTCATAACAATAACTACATATGAAAGGATAATAAGTCAAAGATTAATATATAAAATATCTATTTATATTGTCTACATGAAACTATGTACTAATAGAATTTTACAAGAAATTTTAAAATAAATCATTGATTGTATTTTCTCACTTCTATAGGTGCGACAAATAACTATCAAAAGAAATATTTGTCTCATTGATTGATAGATTCATTCGACGTTTTATTTGTCTTTAATGTATTGTATAACAATACAATTCAAGGAATGTTTTGTTGTAATAGTTACTATAAACCTTTAGAGAATGTATATTTTTCTTTCTTTCTAAAAGAAAATGGTGTTTCTTTTTTTTCTCGTTAGATTCGTTTACTTCATTGTCTGCTATTTTTAGATAGGCGAGCAATTCGATTGTATACTTATGCAATAGACACTTCAACCTTGATGGTCAATCATAAAGATAAAAATATATGAAATCCTTCGTCTATTGATTACAAACAATAATTCGACCTTTGTATCGTGTTTTTCTGTTTATGGTCTGTATAAACAAAATTTGAACTAATTTTCATGATAAAGTTAACTGTGATTATGTTCATAAATATTTTTCATTGTAAAAATTATTTTAATTGACAATAAAATAGAGAATCATTATTGTTTTACCTTGATAAAAAACGAAATCCTATCAATATTTTTCAATGATTCGAGATTGATTACTCGTTAAACGATATCTGACATATTGATCAACACTTAAATTTAATCGAAAGACAGTCCGTCAGACGAAGATAAATTGATATGAAATGAACTTGACAATGCTCTTGAGACAGAAAAGCACTAAGCGATTCAATGATTAGATTAATCATAACTGATAGGTTTATAATTGAGCTTCGTTGAAAAAGAAATTTTCGTTAGTACTCAATTGAATCTAAGTGAACGAATCTATTTTATGTTTGCAATTTATAGTAGATATTGTAAAAGTTCTTATGATCAAATGATTTTACACAAAGAATAACTAAATATCTGCAAGATTTAAACATTTTCATTGATATTTACGAAATCTGAATGAAATATTCACGAGAAACTAAACGTATTCCGTTTTACTTTTATATTTTTCAAGCTACTGTGACTTTCATATTTTCACCCTTTATCCCTTTTAGGTGTGCGTGAATAGGCGTATTTCCTTCACTCATACTCAACAAGGTTAAAGAACTAAGGAAATTAAAAATATTCTTACAGCTTTAAAAGGAGTATAAGTATAAAAGTAAAACAAGATAAATTTAGTTTCTCATGAAATTATGATTCGAATGTTTATTCAACAAAGAAAAAAAAAACAGATTCCTAATCCAAAGACGTATCATTTCGTGAGAAATCATTGATAACAATTTTGACTATACTTCCAAGTAAATAAGATATACTTTTTCTAATACATACCTAATGGCTCCAACTGCTTTCAATTTTTTAGTTGCTAATTCTTTAGAAATTTGTGCTTCTTCTTCACATTCTTTTATCATACATTCTGTTGGTGTCAAATCATGACTAAGACCACCTGCAGCCTTAGAAAAATTTATGATAAATATATAAATTGATGTGGATATTTTTTCAAAATGTCTTTCTTACTAAATTATCATACATGCCAGGAAAAGTTTGTTTTGTTTCTGATCGTTTTCCAACCCACATTCGCCATGTTCCATCATCATCAATAACATATCCATTTACATGTGAACCATATTTTCGTATACCAAATATACCTTAAAAAAAAATAAATAAATAATTTTCGAATTGATTAAACATAAGAAATTTTTTTTTCGTACTTGCAGCAGATCGTTCAATTTCAAATAATGGTGGATTCTTATAAGCTGATTTTACGAGATACAACTGAATAACAAGAAAAAGAAAAGAAAAGAAAATAATTATATTTTCTTTTTCTATCAAAATAATATTATTAATACATACTTCATCTCGCCAACCTCGTAATGTTTTTAAACAATCTCTTGCACGCATATCATTTAAAACTTTAGCAATAGTTTCTGATCGACTTTCATAAGTATTTAAATGATCTGATAATGTAAATCTAAAGAAACAATATTTTTATACATTTTATTGGATTTTCCTTTTTTTTTTCATATACCGATCTGAATGTTCAATAAAAACATTTGGATATTGACGAAGTTGATTTGCAGCATCTTCACGAATCCATCCAATATTTTGAGCATTACATAAAAATAATTTACATTTTGATTTACTTGAACCTAACAATAGAATTCTAATTGATGTAAATTCAAGAAGAATATAGACCTGGTTGATGAAATGAATTAACACGTGTAAGAACACGTTGAATACCTAATGACCATACATCAGACATCTGAAAGAAAATAATGGCAAGATTTTTTTGTTGTAAAAAGGAACAAGTTATTTTCTCAAATCATTTAGAAAGTCTTCTGTAATTATTTTCTGCTAAGAAATATAGCTCTAATTCAAATGCAGTACTGTTCAGACTACAAACTGACATATCTAATAGGAATTGTTCTAAGTTACATACGCCATGATGTCGTTTTAGAAGCGATGACTTGATAGTTATCTTGTTTAGACAAGCAACATGATACTTCTAAACGTAGAAAAATTTCTGTTGAATATGCTATTTTGTAGTTTGAACAGTACTGCTTTTGACTTAAAGCCATATTTCTTAGTTGAAAATAATTACACAAAGTTTTTCTAAATGACTTGAGAAAATCGCTTGACTATTTGTGTTTTTTTTATGGTCTTTTGGGATCCTTTTCTTATTGTTAGAATAGGTTGAAATCCATTGATATTGTAGAATTAAAATATTGTTCTAAAGATTGAGAATGAATTCAGTATAGTTTTAGATTTTGATGAATGTAGAAAGGACATTATATAAAGACATTGACACATAACATTCTTAAATATCTGTTGATTAAGACAGCTGATTGCACAAAGTACAGCAGCACGATGGCTTATTGGTTTCCAGTCGTTTAGTTACCATATCAATTTCTTCTTCTTCTTCCACTTGATACATGAACCACGATTCAAGTCAACCACTCATTCTCAGCACCTAAGCATTATTTCGGATCGAAAAAAGATTGCTGAAATCGTATGACTGTGACAACTGCACATCTGCAACTCGTTTTTCTAAATTCGACGATATTCGGGACATATAAATATACGGGCAACAATAATTAATAACTGATAAGTTTCTTATATGATAATGCATAATTCAATCTTAAAGCGGCCATTCATATCTTAGATGACCAATACACATATACTTCAATTATTGTCTTGTATCACGTTAATTTATCCATGAAGAAGTCTTAAATGCCAATAAGATAGACGATAATACATCAATAAATTGTAATTCCGTTAGATGAATTTTATAATAAAAGATGCCAAAAAGGTTTTGTATTTGGTTAATAAAATAGGCATAACATAAATAAATATTTCGATCTTTACTTATATATATGCAGTAGTAACACTGCTGGGATAATTGCATATGAATGTCATCAATCTAATAAGTGTATTCAAACTTTCTAGAAGTATATAGATGTGAATTATTGACAAAAATAAAATGAATAGGTTATATTCTATGAGTTACAACTTATAACTTGATTGATTTATAGTAGTAACCGTTTTACTGACTCTTTTTTCTTTTTGCGCACGCGAACGAGAATAACAACGGAGGTGTATACACTTGCATTCGCAAAAAAAAAAGAAAACCAGTAGATCAGTTACAACTTTTGCTTTAGATACATATAAAGAGTATATTTCAATAACATGTTTTTTTATTCAAATTATAGAATGATCGAGAAGCATAAAAAACATTGAAACAACACTTCTCAAATATATAAATATTTTTTTTACTATATAATCTGTATGTTTTTTTAATTTTAGAGCAAAAAATCTGTCGTGTATTGTATATTATAAATGAGCAAGTTTTCTTTTTTTCTTTTTATTAAAAACTATGCAAATGTCTCTGAATTTATTTCCTGTTATTGATAAGAACGAAAAAAATAAGAACATATATTTCTTGTAATTCAGACGTATTTTCATTTGTTATTATCTATTGTTTTTTCTTCATTATCATACAACCGTACAGCAAAATTAACCGGGAAAAGTCCAATAGTTCCATCAGATTTTTCAGCATATTCCCAACCATCATCACGTTCATTATCTTCTTCTTTGTAAAAAGAAATAACGTATATATATTCATCTTTAACTAAATTAATTTCATCTTCATTCTCAGCTTCATAATCATGTATAACACGTGCTTCATGTAAAATTTTATAATCTGTTCGTTTTAGTTGTGAAAATGGTATACAATCAGGTTTTTTCTTGTTAGAATCTTCAGTAGGTGATTGTTTTTCTTTTTCAAAGTCATTTTCATTACTATCATTATTTTCATTATTATTATTATTGTTATCTAAATTTGTTGAAGGATTTCTTTGGAGTCTTTCAACAAATTGTGAACAGAATTTATGAGAATTTTTATAAAAATGACCATGTATATCAAATAATTCTATTATATTTTTTTTATAATGACTTTGAACATCAAGATGAAATTTATCTAAATCATTACGCAATTCACGATTAATTAAATGTAATGCAGATTTCAATTGATCTAAATCATTTTTTATACGATCAACTTTAATTTGTTCTTCACGTTTTATACTTGATTGATATTGTCGACGTGTTTTATCATAATCATGTTGTATACGATACTGTTCACCGATGTGGCTTTTTGTTTTTTCAAATGTATCAAATAATACATTAATATTGGAACTCATATGTTTATTTAAATATTGTAAATGTTCATTACGAATACGTCCTATATCGATACATAATTGATCCAGTGTTTGTTGTTGAGGCCATGAAGAATCGGAAAGTGACCGAATAAAATCAAAAAATCGAAATGATGCATTATCGAATACTAGCATAGCTTGAGTATATTTATCAAATTCACGTTTAAATTTTAATAGTTTTGAATGTTCATCGTCAAAATGATTGACAGCTTGCACTATTTGTACGTCAGTTGTTTTACTATTACTACCTATTAGTTGATCGCTAACATTACGAAGAAAAGATTTTGCCATGCTCTTTTTTGCTTGAAACAACCACTTATTTGTATTTATATAATGTGAGCAAAAGACGCAGCCGTTTAACTACAATGTCCACATATACGTACACAAACGTTCGATACTAAAGGATAGAAAAAAGAAATATGACTACCTCTGATGATTGCCAACTCAATAATAAAACTTCATTGGTTAATTTTAAGTATTGGTAAAGAAAGAAGAAAAATCATAAAAATTTTTGCACATATGATAGTTGCAAAATGGCACAAATTTCTATCTTAAATTAATATTATCTACAATCATAAGTCAACTAAAAATATGAAGAATTTTTAATTATCTGTATTTTTTTTTTCATATAATGAGAAGCATATAAAACAATTAAGCCAATATTAGTTTATGATGTTTATTTCGTTAAGTATAACAAAGAATATCTTTTTTGAAAATGATACACGCGAAGAACTTCAGAATAACGTGAGAAAAAAAAAAGATTACATAAGATAGATATGAGTATGACTACATGTGAATTCTGTCTTTTTTTAAAGGTGCAGGAAGACATCGATAACACTATTGTTAAATGCATGCATACTTGAATTAGTTATAGAAACGTCGATGATGTTATTTTATCGTATCTTCAAAATGAAAATATTTTATCAAAATAAAAAAAAAAATGCATTCTTTGTTTTACCTTGGAATGCAAAAATTTTGTTTCGAAAATTGAAGATTGGCTGATTAAATGAGAGTCAAAAGAAAAGAAAAAGAAAGACGAATATTAAATGATACAAAATAAGTCATATTGAGCAGCATTTTATACAAATATATCTGTATATATATGTATAAGCATATATGATTTCTCATTGATAACTGATGACAAGAAGAAAAAAAAAAAAGAATCTCTTTTCAATGTTATTTTCTATTTACACAAATGTTAGTTCTTCTAATTTTCAAATTTTCATGAACAAAAAGAAGAAAAAGATCAAACGGAAGAAAGAAAAAAAAACTCCGCATGAACATCCATCATTTGTTCGTTGTAGACAAAACATCACACACATACACAAGCAGAAAAAATAGATGCATAACAAATAATTGTGCGTTTTTTTCAGATAGATAAAGAGAAAGAAAAAACAAAACAAAACAAAACGAAAAATATATTAAACAAAAAATCTATTTTGATTCAATCCCTGAGAAAAAGTTGCATATTTTTCAAATTTGACAATATGTATGTATGTATATATATATACTTAATCAATAACAATATATGAATCACTTGAGGATAAATTAGTTGTTGGCGTAAGTCGTATTTCTTTTGAATTAAGCATAAAGACTGTTTTAATTTTTCCTTCTAACATATGTTGTTTAGGTAAATTAAAAAATTCTACAACACGTGTTAAAATTGAATCAATTTCGGAATCATAGATATTTAATAATAAATCTTTATCATGTTCAAGCCAATGAGAATGTAAAACATCACTATTTGTTACTTGTGCATCAACATATTCACGTTTTGAACAAACAAAACATTTTAAATAAATACGTTGATATATTGATGAAGATGAATCATTTTTTATATTACCATCATCATTTATAGTAGCACAATTATTATTCATTGATTTAATTCGTTTTGGTTTAATAATTTCTGCTGCTGTCGATTTACGTTTAACAGTAGTTTTTTCTGTTGTCATTGTTGTTATAGTTGTTAGTGTTGTTGTTGTTGTTGTTTTATTTGTAGCTATTGATAATGATCGACGAGCTTTACAAGTTTTACGTAATGATCGATCTGTTGTTGACTATAATAAAAATCAATATTTTAAATAAAATAATTTTATTTTCTCAGATAAATAATACGAACTATTGGTGCAATGTTTTTGTCATTATCTTCAGTTGAATTTTGTATCATTTGATCAATTGTTGATTGTTCCAAACGATCAAGAACAACATGACATTTGAAAACTGAATTAACATATTTACTCATTGAAGTTTTATTTGTATTATTACGAGATATTTTAGGTGTCATGTTGATTAAGTCTGTAGAAAATAAAATATGATTTTTTTTCTTCTAAGTATCAAAAAAATAATAAATTGAATACATCCACAACAATAACATACTTTTCTATTTGCCTGTTTATAAAACTTACTAATTACAATACATGAAAAATTAACATTATTAGTAATAATTTTTAAAAATTAAGATATTGTAGAAAGTTTAAATATAGATTCTTTCAAAACCGCAAATACAAAGAGTCTAACTATACTAAGTCATAATGAATTTATTTTTTGTCAGTTAATTATTTATGTGTCAGATCAGATTTGTACACCTATTGCTAAACTCCAATTGGTCGACTTTACAAACATAGTGACAAATTTTTAATAGGTGTCGTACGAAAAATCATTATGTAAACTATTATTGAAGTTATGTAATATAAAAAACGATATCAGAAAGAAGAAAAGATAAGCTATACCTGTGCAATACATATAGGTTCTTACATGTAAATTTGTATTCACATGTACTAAATAGAGATATTCATCGTACAAAAATACTCAAAAGAAAAAGAATGAAAGTCATGAAGTACTATTTACGTGGGAGATAAGGTTACAATAGACAAAACATGAATAAGAATGAGTTAGTAAAGTTCTAATGACACGATAAACTGTAAAGGAATCAACTTTGCTACTTTAGGCATTGCTAAGATAAATGAAAATATTCCACCATTAATCTATTTTTTTTGTTTTATCAATGAAAGGTTGTTATGAACCTATTACTCTCAATAAGAGGCATAGTCAGGAGGGAGGTGCGCTCCTTGACCAAAAAGTACCTAGATAGAGTACAGATTAAAAAACATTTTCACGAACCAAAAAGATATTTTTCTGCTTGTGGGCACTTCCCTTGCCAAATTCTTGGCTATGTACCTACTCTCAATTTTCAACAAAAAATCTAATCTGATCTTTACAATAGAATGTTTTATTCAGTCTTCTGTCAAAGGCACAATTCAGAGCTTCATTTTATCAAATTCAATTGATCATAGACTGATTTCATTTCAGCTAGATGTATTCTTCCATGAAAAAATTCACTTCATGATATCATTCTTTGTTTGTGATTGATTGTTATTGCTGTCATCACGTTCAAACTACTATCCATGTTTTTCTCATATTGATTTATTTTATATTTACCTGTTTTTGGCAATTTCTGTTTTTTTTTAATTCGATTCAATGTTGATGAAGCACGTGTTTGTGTTACTGAACGTGGTAGAAGACTTTGTGCTTTGGCATTTTCATCTGTTGAACAAAAACTTTCAATATCACATGTTATTGATAAAAATTTCAAGAATGGTAATCGAACATATAAAGCTTGTCGAACACGTTCACTATATTTTGGTAGAGGAAGTAAACATACTGGACATGCCAATCGTTTTGTTAATGATCGTAAATATAGATTACGTACAATTGGTTTTCTAATCTTACGTCGAAGACCAACAAATGCTAGAAATTGTTCTTCATCAATATCGTTTACTAGTTGATTATCATCGATATCATCATCACTTGTAATATCAAGAATATCATCGATATTTGCCATATCAGCAGTTTCAATTTGATGACTATTGTTATTTTCATCACTTTTTATTGTTTTTATAATGGATAATTGTTCAATTTGTGGTATTGAAACAGTAGAACAAGACGCTGATGGTGATAAAGTTGTTCGACGAGAAATCGGTGTAAATTGTGTTCTTGCTTTAGCCAATGAATGTTGATAGAAAGCTCTGTTTGTACAATATGCCATTGCTGCTGCCATATTAATCGTTTTAGATAAAAGAGATTGATAGAAAAACTTATATATGAAGATAGAATAAGAATAAAGGATGAATATGTTTATATCAAATAATCTAAATATAAAATAGACAAAGAAAATATAAAGAAAGAGTTTTTAATCATCATTTAATGATCTCCCACAGATGACGCTCTTAATTTTTGCGTATGAGTAATAATGTGAGTCAAATTAATGCGTGATTCAACTGTTAAGCTCTATCGATCTAAATGACGAATAATGCGCAACAAAAAATTTTTGAAAGTATCGAATAGTTTTTTTATTGTAAATGTCACCATTGAGCCTCCTATGGTCAGTTAGTAAACATAACATAATCGTACACGAAAACAAAGACTTGATCATGAGAGTGACCGTTGTTTCCTTGAAAGTGGATAGTAGCGCTGCACCTGATACTCAATTATTGGTTTATTTTTTCTTCAGAAAAAAATCAAAAATTTTTTAATTTCCAAATAGAATATACAAAAATTTTCAAAATATACTATTTAAAAACGAAATTCATCAAAGTTATCAATATCCGTGTCTGTTACCATAACAACTTTTTCTATTTAAAATCGTTGCATGGTGATGTCGCCAGTACAATTTCTTCAAAGAATACAAACTGTGCTACTATAGTCATTTGTTATGAAAAAAAAGGAGAAAATATATTTATACATATGTATATATATACACCTTGTGAATAGTCTGTATATTCATTCAATACTAGATATATTGTAGATCAAAGTATATAGCAACTGTTTTATTCTACACATTTACTAGCATGGCAGCTACAACACGCCTCCAAAAAGAACTCGAAATAAAATCAAAACAAGCATTAGCAACGACAACAGATCCATTAGAGCGTTTGCGTGCAGCGTGTTTGGCTCGAGGAGCACAAGGCATTAAAGGATTATCTATGTACGTACTTCTCATATGCTGAGATTTTCTACCGATGGAAATATTTTGCTAACTAGTACTTTGAATAATTTATCTTTGCTGCTTGCGGTTGAATCTCGTTAAAAATCAATATGGATTCCTACTAATATATGTTTCTATATTTCTCATGTCTGTTTTAGTTTATTTCGTATTATGGATGATGATAAAAGTAACAAGTTGAACGTGGAAGAATTCAAGAAAGGTGTTGACGAATATGGGCTAAATTTTTCGAAAGCTGAAATTGCAGATCTTTTTCGTCTTTTCGATATTGATCAAAGTGGTCAGATTGACTACGACGAATTTCTACGTCGATTACGAGTATGTTTTACAATGTGAAAGAAGCTAAATCGTATGTCATATAATGATTTTCATATCAATATTCTAGCCTCCAATGAATAGTTTTCGTCTTGATTTGATTGCTAAAGCCTTTGCTAAACTTGATAAGTATGTAGAAATAAAAATATTCTCTTGACTTAGAAAATATTTACATACATTTATAGAAATCATGATGGTCAAATAACAGTTGACGATTTACGAGGTGTTTATATAGTGAAACATCATCCAAAATATATGAATGGTGAATGGAGTGAAGATCAAGTATTGAGACAATTTCTTGATTGTTTTGATTATGGTAAACATAAAGATGGTATTGTAAGTATTCATGCCTTTTCTTTATCTTATTTTAAAATTTTTCTTCAATTATTATTTGTAGGTAACACGTGAGGAATTTATCGATTATTATTCAGGTGTTAGTGCATCGGTTGATAATGATATGTATTTTGATTTAATGATGCGAAATTCATGGAAAATATAAACTTTTCTTTGCTTTTTTGACAAACAAATCAATTAACAAATAGAATTTGTTTTTATATATGCTCTTTTGTTTTTGTGTTTTTTTTTAACTAATGACAATTTTAATGGTTAGTAATACACATAATCTCCTATATATTTTGTATCATGCGCATATGTGCATGCACAACTGAGGGGCGAGTTTCAAAACTGACTCATGTATTTATCTTACGTAATCGTGATCATGTTCTCTCATATGTATTTCTTTTTCTTCATTTTCTATCTATAAATGTACTGTTGTGATTATTTCTTTATTTGTGATTTGAACAATAAAACAAACAAGAACAACTACTTGAATATTGTTGCATAATGAAATAAACTAAGAAAATTGTGAGGCCTATTGTTAATAGATGTTAATTGAATATTATATGATCAATGCAGCTATAGAATAAAATGCTACGACTATAAAGAAAAGATTATAATAGGTTCGACTTTCTAGATGATCATTAATACAAACAGATAAACATAGATTTGGTTACGATACTAGTTTCTTAGGACACAAAATCTCAACATGTAGTAAATGTGCTAATGAACGAACGATTGTAAATTGTACATCGAGGTCGGCGATTTTATACTGATAGAACGCAAGATATTTATATTTGAAACAAATTCTTCTTATTATTTGAAAATATTAAAACTTATCGTAGATATCAAAATCATTAGAAATTGGACTAGTGTCTTTTTTCTATATAACTTTAATATGGAAAGTTAATTGGACACTATCATCTCTCTTATTCATCTGTTGTTGCTCTTCTTTATGACATTTATTAATTTTTATTAAGTATCATTTTCTCCATATGCACCTAATAAATATATCACTAAAGAATAATCTACAATGTAAGATAATTGGCGCTTTGCTAAATATTTTTTTTTAATATTAGTACGATTTCGAAATCGTGAATTGTATTTGATTCGTATGTGCACTCATTATTCAATCAATATACATGTATAAAATTAATCTATACGAATAAGCAGTATAAGTGCTTGACAATATCATTATTTCAACGATGATAGCATTAGCTATATACAATTATCTGTAGCATTTCCATTGCCAACTTTAGTTATCAGTGTACTTAACATGAAACAATTTGTCAATTGGAATAAAGTAAATAAAAGAATAGATTTCTTATGTTCAACTAAAAATATTATTGAGATAAAATGCTGATGAAAATAAAATTTTCATTTATCTCATGTGAACAGAATCTTTTCAACGATTTGTTTTTTTTATTCTAGTGTATACAAAGATAAGAGTTTTCAAATATAGAAGTACAATCATCATCTCAACCTTTTTTATGGCGTAGTAAGTAAGGTGATTATACGTTTTGTTTGTGATAGAAATAGTATCCAGATAATACATTGAAAAATTCTTTAAATGTCAAAAAATATTAAATGATGTATTAGTTAAATCTACGTATGAGTAATGAATTTTACGAAAATTAAGTATTGCTGCTTCCGAATACGTTTTGTTATATACAACTCTTTTATAATTTTTTATTGAGTATTATAATAATTTTAATTTGATAGAACAGTCTTCTTCTTCTTCTTCTTTTATGGCACGACATTTCTCTGAAAATCAAAATGCCATTGATCATCATCATTCTCGGAATGCGGATATCTTATTACCTAATCAGAAAGAAAATCAACAATTACACACTACATCTTTAACATCTACCAACTTTGCAACGGATGGTTCAATTGAATTACGAATAAATTCAAATAATGAATCAGAAAGTTAGACATCGAAATTTTTCTTATTTATTTTTTTCTTCTCTTGATTTATATAGAAGTCGATTCACATTTATCTCAAAAATCTGTAACTATTACTCGACGTAATTCTAAATCAAATCAACATGAATCCACACAAATAGTTACAAATCAAACTCGTCAACATCAACGTGATCGATATATAAATTATTGTTATCGTTTTGAAGAAAGTCAACTCTATTCCTTATTCATTTCATCGAATGGTGTTGAATGTTATGGAACAAATTGTCAACCATCTGTATTTACTACATCATATCAATGTCAAACAATATCACATGATAAAAATATTGATACTATTGAAGAATTACCTTTAATGAATGATCAACATATTAAACAAAATATTTCCTATATATCATTAACTAATTTATCAAATATAATTGATCATGAACCTAATGTATCACGAAATGGATCTAATTCACAATCAACAAGCAATATTTTACTACATAAACCATCATTATTTCTTGCTGACATTTTAAGTAAATATATATGTATTTACTTTTAAAATTTATTAATTGTTACATGTTAGGTAAAATGACACATGAACAACTTGCTAAATCTATTGCTCAATTGACTAAATTGCATGAAAATCGTACAAAATCGAATAGTATGTTGATACATAATATCCAAATCATTAAATCATATATTTTTCTAATGCTAGTTACTCTTAATAAATTACAAAGAACTACATCGCTTCAGAATTTGAGTAAAAAACCAACAAAATTACATAGTGTTACCTCGTTATTATGTGAACAAACACCAGTAAACATAATTCAAATAGAGAATAAAACTCTATCAATACAACCAACTAAACAAAAACATATTGAGGAAGACATGATTTCAGTACCTATCGATTTAGAGACATCAAGAGATAAATGTAGAATTGATATAAATGAAAAGACAATATTAACTATTACTGATGAAAAACTTCAAACACCAGTTCATACTTCAGAACCATTAAATCAACATATCATTTCAAGTCCTACAAAACTTATATCACTTCCAAAACGTAAATTATCTCAAGAAAATCTACAAACAATTTCTATTAATGATTCACCACAAACTACTTCTGCAATATCATCACCTATTGTACATCGACCTATGACAAAGCCATCTTCAAGTGAGATAAAATCTAATATCAATATTGATTTTGACAAAGAAAAAACAAAATCGAAGTAAATATTTTCTTGATATAGAACTTAATGAACAACTATTGAAATCAAAATTTAAGCCTTATAATACATCAAAAATCGAACAAAATAATACTGAATTTTCAAATCAAATAGACGCAAAAACATTTGCTTCATCATTCAATTCAATGATGAATTCAATACCTATTAAAAATCAACAATTCGATAAAGAAACAAATCTTGAAAATAATCAAGATTTATTTTCAAAATCTAACAAGAAACAAAATCTTCATGAATTATATTCAATAAATAATATGAATCAATCATTAAAAAACTTTTCATTGTGCAATAAAATAACAGATCATCCTTCTCAAACAAATATATTATTATCATCAATACCAATCAAAGAAAAATTGATTTCATCATCAACATATTCTCAAATATCAAATAATAAAAATGAAATTGAACATAATTTGAATAATGTAACTGATCATCTTTCTCAACAAGATATCATTATATCAAATATAAATACCAATAAATCACACCATATCTCTTCGATAAAATCTAACAGAACAAAATGAATATTACCATTTATGAAAAAAATTGATTAACTATCACAATATTCTAAATCATCTGTAAGTTTCGAATCTAATAAAAATTCAATTTGAAATATTGAGAAAAAAAACTATTTTCAATAAATTATGCTTTTTATTATTTTTTTCAAAGCATTTTCATCGAAAAAAAAACCGACTTGATTGATCACAATGATTACTCGAACATTAATAGCATCAACTAATTTAATAATAATGGCAGATGATAATAATATTTTCTTTTTTTAATATAAAAATAAATAAAAATGTTCTACTAACTCGTACGCATTATTTTTTTTTGGAGTAAAACGAATTAGACAAACAGATCATATTTCTTTTTGCGCCTTTAATTAAATAGATTTTATTTGATTACATTGATTATGAAAACATATTGTCGACATGAAGTGAATAATCAATCATCATTAAATGATGAGATTAAAAAAGAAAATGTTGGATATACTCATATTGTTGATTCATATGTTGCACCGGAAAAACATTTCGAACCGTGGAATTTGTCAGATCCGCCAAAAAATCGAAATATTTTTCAAAATAGTGAGATATATTAAATGAAATCTAATTTATTGAGCGTTACATTTTAATCATTGAAAATCTATTCTTATTGTAAATAAATTTAGTTGAACAATCGAAAACATCAAATTTTCTTCGTAATTATGGATGGGATGAAATTGAACAAAATGAAGACGAAACAAAAAGATTACGTCAATTAGTATCTATTTGGGATGCTGAACGAATAGCTATATTAAAACTTCAATATGATCTAGATAAGAATATTTTTAAACGTAAAAAAAAAATGTATTAAGTAATCGTAATGAAAGATTTATTTTCTATCATTTAGGTACATTTGATTATGTTAAACGCATAGGTCAAAGTATTAGATTAGGTCTTTGGCTATGGGTTCATCGTCCAGTTAATTGTTCGAATATTTCTAATCTAAATCAATATGAACAACAACAATCTCTATTTTCTAATATGAATATTCATAAGTCACAAAATTTCGCCTGTTCACAATCATCAAGTTATTCAACATCAGAAAATATTGATAATCAAGAAAAACAAGAATTTCCTATACCATCGTTCGATATTTTAGCCGATTCACTTTGGTATCAACGTTTTGTTTTGAATGAGTCGCAAGAACATTTACCTCCAATAGCTAGAGCTATGAAGAATATGCTTGATAATAACACATTTGTTTGGAATTCTGAAACTCAAGAAGAAAATGCTTGGCCACATTTTATTAATCAGTACAGAGTAACACAAAATAAAGCATTCCTTCGTAATCTATATGAAAACGATGGATTTCAATCATCTTCCTCTCAAAAGTCGTCATCACCATTCAAATATGCGACAAATGAAAGAGATGTGACAGATATTGATACAAGATATAAAAACAAAGTAGATCGACATTCACCTAAAGAAACGAATATTTCAATAGAACAGAATATGGCTAATATTTCACCATCAACAGACAGTCAATATTTTTTAAAACCACCTGATTTCTCATTGAAGAAAAACAAAAATTCAACTAGAAAACAGAAGCAACAATTAGAGAAAAAACGTTAGTAAATGACTCATCATTTTGCTTAACCAAAATTATAATTTTCTATTTTTACTTAATTTTTCGTTTCTACGGTAGCCGACCATCAATTAAATAATGTAAAATCAGTGACTTTCCTGATTTTTTTTCTCATGTAGATCGATTCAAGTCAAATGACGAAAAAAACAAAATTGGTAAAGTACGTCGTCGATCGAAATCAAAAAGACGTAAATCACGAAGATCATCGAAATCAAAAAGACGTAAATCACGAAGATCATCGAAATCAAAGAGACGTAAATCACGAAGATCATCGAAATCAAAAAGACGTAAATCACGAAGATCATCAAAATCAAAAAATCGAAGATTACGAAGTCGAACAAGATCAATAGGCCGAAAAATAAACAGGCGATCTAAATTCAAAAATCGACATTCCAAAAATCGATCAAAGTCCAGAAGAAAATCGAAATCAAAAAGACACAGATCACGTCGTCGATTGAAATAAAAAACAGTCGAAAACCATTTCGACATTTCAAGTCAGAGAAAAAAAAGGGAAACATACTACTCCTTACATAATCAGATAGATTATCAATCAAGACCATTGTTCCTTACAAAATTTCACCCATCAATGTGAAGCTATAAAAATTATTTTAATAACAATAAGATCTGATAATTGTTCTAAAAGTTCAGATAGTGTGCTCAATTGATTTTTATTGATATTTAAACATCTTAACGAATTGGTCGAAGATTTCTGTCTATGTTTGACTACCTTGGAAGTAGTGAACTGCATAGGACTCCGAAACCCGATTCCGACTCCGACTCTAACGGAGTCGGAGTCGGGTTTCAGAAACAAAAAGTCCGACTCCGATAATCATCAATTATGTGTTAAAATTTGTTACTCATAATTTCTCTTTCTTTGTTTCTGAAAAAAAAACATGACGAAATGTGTCTTATGACAAAATAAACTGTATTTTATTTCTTATTGAGTCGCCAATAGTTTTTCTCCTTTCAGAATATCGAACCTTGGTATGAATTTTACGTCGATAAGCTACAAAACACAGTTTCGGAGTTTTTTCGGAGTCAGAGTTGGAATCGGAGTTGAAAGAAAATTTTTTCGGAGTCGGAGTCGGATTTCGGAACGAAAGAATGTGACTCCGCTGATCATCACTTGAAAGTGTTTCCGAGGAGTTGAAAAGCTGTGGATTATGACGAGAATTTTGTACTCTTTTCAAATGTACACTTAAAAATTTCCTCTCGAATTTTTCTTGAGAACAATGAGATGATCTTTTTGAAAAGTTCAAAAAATAGTTTGGATAGAAAATTTTTGTCGTACATTGTTGTACCTTCATTATTGTAACTCAAAAGTAAATGTTGAAACTTTTATTAATATATAAGTTTGTAGAGTAGAAGCTATTCTACCAAATGTACTATTGGAGTTTTTTTTCCTACAGATCACTTCAATTTTCGTTTCTCTTAAATCTTCATCCTTTGAAAAATCGACCTTTTGACTAACAGGCGTTATGCATATCAAGGAGCTCTTGACAATGTACATGTAGTTTTACTTAGGTAAAAGACACAGATTTGTTCAATATAAAATTTTGTAAAATAATGTCCGCTTGACAAAAACAAATCAACTCGCATATTTTTTCGCACCTTCGAAAAGGAAACTTATAGGGATCAGCAAAAGTCTATTGGTTCACCAATCAATCTAATATTTTTCGGTCTTTAAAAAATTCTTTCACTAGTTTCGAACAAAAATAGACACAATATTTCTAATTCCATTCTCAAAGAGAGCACAGAATTCTGATCATTATCCATAGTTTTTTGGCTTGTCTGATATACTTTCGAACAGATCAAATGAGTAACCATTTGAATTGAAAGTTTCGGCTCGCATTTTTTGTCCAAATTTCATTTTTTGCGTTTTTCAAAGATTACCTCACTATTCTCAAATAAAAATTAAGATAAAATTTCTAAAGTCATATTCGAAAGGTGTAGAATATGTTGGTCCTAATCCATAGCTTTTGACTTCTCGGAAATGCTTTCAAGGAAGCCAAATATAAACAAACAGCCCGTCTGTTATTCAATCAATGTGTATGCTATTAATAGAATAGATTAGTGAATAACATGATGTTTTCTGATGAATGATAAAATTCTTTCTTATGCTTTTTTGCTTCAAATCGAGATATTTTTTTGTAAAAAGTTAAATTTGACAAGGTTAAAATTTTCGTTTTTCAACACAAACGAAGAATACATTTAACACAAATCACAGAAGTCAATGTGTATCATTCAATGTAAAACATAGTTTATGAAAATTTTAGTATGATCAGTATATTAATTATCATATGATTTCCATTCCATTCCCTAAAACAATAGAAAAATAAGTAATAGGATTCTAAAAAAAACAAGAACGGAGAATATCTATTCACATCAGGAGGTTTGACTTCTGTTTTTGTCTTGGAAATTTCATCCCAATTAGTACTTAATACAGTGCCACCCGATTCCATCTATATACGTAAATATGATAAAGTAAAATAAAACAAACAAAAAATTATCATAATAAAAACATACAAAACTTTTGTTCATTGCTCGTCTTTGTTCATCAGTTCCATCACGATAAATTTGTTGAAATAATCTATACAGAAATTAAATTAATTGTTTTCTGTTTTTTTCTTCATAATATCTACAAAAATTTACATACTGATTAAGTGCTGCATCACCTTCAAGTTTTTCTTCTTTTTCTTCTTTCTTTATTTCAACTTCAAATTTATCCCAATCTTTGGCTTTTTTACTTGATGATGGATACGATGGTGGAACTGATTGTACAGTAGGTGTACGATTCATACTAACTAGAAGAAAAAAAAGATTAATATTTCTATTTTATTCTTATAACTATACAAAAAAAAATATGAGTTTACCTGGTGGAACATTTGATTTATGTTGAGCATCAAGTGATGTCCATTGTACAGCATCAACTTTATACAAACGAACTTCAACCTATATTAAAAAAAAAATCGAATAATATATTTCAAAGCAAGAAAAGATAATTTTTAACTTACGTTTGCTGTATTAACTTTAAAATCCGTACGATTACAATTAATTGGATAAGCTAGATCGAGTTTAAGATTATATTCACTATTTGAGGATGGTAATTTGATATTAACACTTAACTAAACAGAAAAGATTTAAAAAATCATTGTATAATCAAGCGGAGAAAAAAAAAAGACGTACTGTATTTTCAGTAGATTCAACATGTACTTCATCTCGTTGTACATTTCGAATAGGAATTACAACGACAACAGTACTTTCTGATTGATACCATGTATGACTTTAATGAAAGAAGAGATATCAATTCGACTATTTACTTATTAACAGTATCTTACTTAATCTTTTTTGGAGGATTAACCACTGGTTGTGTTTCATTTTGAGCTTGATCGTTCGATGCCATAATTTATGTATTTTTTGATAGTTTACTTTCTTATAAGTAAAACATAAATAATCAGTAGGCAATAAGAAATAGGTAAGGTTACATGCGTTTTATGTGTCACCCTCTGATTTATCAACATATTTACACAAAATTATTTTTATTTTTACATTAAAAAAATTTGTTTTCTGTTAGTTTATACTTATGAACTTTTTAAAAGGCATCGTCTAAAATAGATGACGCTGTCATACTATGCTATGGTAATTGTAGCAAAAACAATTGATCATGTTTTAAGAAGAATTCTACACTACTTAATGTTTTGATTCTTAAGTTGGGGTGGATGTGGATCAATTTAAATGTAAAAATTCTAATATATATTTAAGAAAACGGAATCTCTTTTGATAAACAGCATGATTCAAGAGATCATGTAAGTATCGTTCGTTTTCGTGAATAAAAATGTTAGTATATGTTATTGATATAACATTTCGAGAACGTGTCAAACGTTGTTATGCTTCTCCTTACTCAACTCGAACTATTGTTGATTTTTATGATACCTAAATACACGTCTATCATTTTAAATAATTTCATTCAGAGTATATGTTGAAAAATGGTCTGGAAGACACATGTCGTGTAATACTATCATAGCTTCAAGGAGATAATATTCTTTCTTAAATAAGATTACGTACATTAATCATGTTACTATATGTAATTTTGCTTGCTTCCATAATGCGATCATTTTTGTCATTGTCACCCTTAATTCTGCTTTGCGTACATTCTTTTTCTTCCAATTAAGAAAAACATGGTCTAAAAAGAGTGCTGAGGTGTATAGGAGGGAGGGGTGTACACCTTCCCCCCAATAAATGAAAATTTTCAACTTTTAACTATGAAAAATAGACAATAGTATATATTGATTTTTTAATCTAGTATTGATAGAGAAGATTTAATTTAATGCTATAAATGTTCTGTTGTCATCAAGGTAGAATCAGTAATTGTATAACTAAATGGCTCTTTTCTGTTTCGGTTTTCATTATGAAATACTTCATAGCTAATATTCATCTTTCAAGGTAAATAAGAGTAGAAAGTGTAGCCGTCTTTGGCGATCAATCTCAAAGAAAAAATATTTCTCTTCTATCACCCGAAAAATCGACTTTTTATACCATGAATGCACATTTGTCAGAATTTTCTGTTTTATATTGCTTCGAAAAGCTCCCGCCTTCGGCGGCATTTTCTTCCAAAACAACTGCTGAATGGATAGTTTTAATACCGCTGTTTTCTTGTCAAAAATGTTTGATTTATGCAGATGAAAAAAATTTTGTCACTGCGCGGCACTTCAAAAAAGTGATATGTAGAAAAGATGACCGACAACGGGTTTAATACTTCTAGTGGAAAAAAATTTTATATTTCTCTACATTTGGAGGCCAGGTGCGCTCCTTTTTTTGTTGCTAGATGATTTTTCGTTGTGCACACCTCTATCAAAACTTTTAAAGACACTTACACCCTCCCCCCAATCCTGGACCCTTCGCGCAGCCACTGAAAACACCTTCTTTTCCTTTTTTCTTAGATAGAAAGATACAAATAATGCGTCATCTACCCTGTCTTCGCTATTTTTTGAATCATTTATTGCATTACATGATACTTCCTGTCAAAATAATTAAGACAAAAAAGTTTGTCACATTTCAGAACAGAAGGTTTTTATTTTCTTTACTGTCGCATGACTCGTTTCTCTTTATTGTTGTTCTTTGCTTTTCTCATAGTGACTAGCACAATGTCTGAGAATGATGCATGCAAGTTCTTCCTTTCTTCGAACTTGTGATCAACGAAATTTCGTTGTCGTTATCTTATTCCTACTGCGCAAAACATATAAGAAAGAGAAAAATAACTTTAAGCAATTATTCAGTTCGACATGAAACATGCCCGCTTATGTAATGATACAGACACGCAAAAGAAAAACAAGTGCCAATACATACTGAAAAGATTAATGAGTACATTTATCTGACAGTGAATGCACATGAAAATAAATCGATTAAAGCTGTTCCCTAAGAAAACCGAATCGCCTCGAATGTGTTAATAGCGATGTATCACTTGGAAACCTCTCATTGGATACAGACATATTAGTACTCAATATCAAATTTATGAGTAACCTAAACTGGATAAGTCTAATGATCAATAGTTCATGTTGTACTAAATATATATATATATATTATATTTTTTAGATACATTAGCATATGCTAGTAGAATTTAACCAGGCTATGATCTCGAAATAGTAGAATATGAAACTACTTCAAAATATCGATAAATCTCTACTTATGAGAATTAGCTAATTGTTCATTATGACAGTCTTGTAATTACGATATTCGATAAAGTACATTTTATTCCAATCAGCAGCTTGGCGAAGATATAAAGAATAAAAATATCTATTTCACTTATTGAGATGACTATTTTGAATCAGAATCAAGCATTTTTTCATTAACCATAAAAAAAAAAGAAACTTCAATCATAGAATATATTTTTTCATCAAAGTTATTTCGCTTTCGCTTCTGAATTTTTCGATCTTTCTTGATCTATTTTGTTTGTACAAATGACATCACATAATAATGAACAAAATGAAAAGAAAAATGAACAGTTAAAATAATACATATAACGCTAACAAATAAACAAAAAAAATGGAAAAAAGAAAAACATATGTTAAATAATCAAGTTTTCCTATGGACTTTCATTCTCAACAACATTAATAAAATCATTTTCATAACCACCAAAACCACCAGCTGGAAATGCTGAATTTCCAAGACCATATAAATGTCCTGAATATTTTCCTTCGTCAATTGAATCTTCAAAAAATAATTCTTTCATCTTAAAAAATGATAAACCGGTCATAAGACTATCACTACCAGCTTGATGTTGAGGACCAATACGTTCAATCTAAAAATAACAGAATTTTATATATTAATAAAAAAAACAAATAATTAAATTAAAATATTTACTTCAAGTTGTTTAGCTACTTCTTCAAGACCCCCTTTAAGACTTTTACAACTTTTCATTAAATATTTAACATCATATATAGTTGGAAAAAATAGTTTTAATAATTCAAAAAAATCATTTTCTGTATCAGGTAATAATTTTCCTGTAAGCATCTTTAATAGATAACCAAAATCATAACCACTAAATAAAAATAATAGAATTAATAAGAATAAAAAAAAAAAAAACATTTTTTTATTATAATAAATACATACGCATGGAATGAAAGCCATGTAACATTTTCCATAAATACAACACCTGATGTTGTTAATAATTCAGCAAATAAATGTGGATCAATACCTTCATCTTCATGTTTTTTAAATTGTATACCAGATTTTTGTAAAAGTTCTATAGAATCTTGTGCATACATATCCATCCTAAATAAATTTATTATTTGAATAATAAGAAAATGAAAATCTATATATATATATATTTACGCTAAGTTAAAATTGAAATTAAATTGATATGAACAAACACCTGGTGGACTTCTTCCTTGACTATCCATAAATGTTAAACCTAATTGAATAATTTTTAAAAAATCAACATTTAATTTTAAACATTGATATTGATATTCTGCTGTTGTTTTAAATTCTCCTAATGGTCGAACAACAATACCCGGAAATTCCGTATCCTAAAATAAAAACAATAAAATCTATATTTCATAATTAAATCAATGTATTCTACTCCTCTTATAAGTTATTTATTCTTTAATAGAAAGAGAATATAAATAAATAAATTTAGTGATGTATACCAACGCCAGTCTTGTGAAGAACTATTCACTGTAGAAAAAGTTTGATTTTAAGAAATTTGATAAAAATACCGTTTTTTTGACGTAGAAAACTGACGAAGATATCTCCTCAACTATCCCCTTTACGATATTTTGAATAGAGAAACTAACTAGAATCATTTTCATAAAAAAGTTCATAAGTTTTGAACAAAGTGTCGTTGAGATATGCAGTTTTCAAAAACAAACGCATGTTATATACATTATCCATGTAAAAGGGTCTACATTTTGAAAATCTCATATCTCGAAGAGACTTTATTGAAAAATTTCAAAATTTTTTTTTTATGAAAATTAGTCTAATTGAGTTCTTTATATACACAAAGTTTCAGATCATAATTCAAAAATACGAGTTTTTCGAAAAGCTGGGCTCTATAGAAAATAGATATATTAAAAATTCGGTAGCTTAGTCAACCCAAATTCTTGTAGAGTTTTTTATTAGAGCACTATGTAGTATCTATAGGCAAAAAAATCATTGAAATCATAGGGAGACAACTGAGGAGATTCTTTCGTGAATGCAAGATCCATAAACAGGTTTTTGTTTCATTTTAGTATTTAATAGCTGTCTTGCTCATGTAATGCTTTAATACACATATTTAAGGAGAAAAGTTGACTTTCAGAATGTTCAATTTTGTTTTTTAAATATCAGATAAAACGATATAGATATGCAATTGTGTAATAATTACTAAGCTGATGTTTCATTGAAGTCTGATATCTTTCCATTCATACGACTATGTTTTTATTTGGTCTTATTCATATTCAATATTATCGTATAAACTAAATTTCTTTACCTAAACTTATCTCAGTTTGCTAATAAAAATCTTATTACTATTATATTATGGAATTTTTGCTGAAAGAAACATAAAACATTCATACTAACCATAGCAACATAAGGATATTTAAGAATAAGTTTTCGTATGGCACGAAATTCTTCTTCAACATTATATGCCCAAACATCTTTAATTGTATATGATGGAATCGGTTCTTCGGGCATGATTACAATTATTCTTAAACGAAAAAAAGAAAAATAATAATTAAATTAAATATAATTGAAATCAATTTACTAGAAATAAAGAATCATTATCGAAATAAAAAATATCAAGAAAAAAAAATCGAACTAAAATATTTCTATAATAATTGTTTAATAATTGCGCATTCAAATCCAAAAAAAAACAAAATTATCGATTTAAAACAAATAATATGTTTAACTTGTGTACACTTCAGTCGGACGAATATGATGATTTTACTAAGACAAATTTTACTAATTCTTTTCAAACCAATCTGGAAAATTTTTACAATCAGCGACATCTTCTAACAATAAAATTATAAGAAGAAGAAAAAAAGAATTCGATCTGAATTGAATTTATTTAATAATTTAAATCATAGAATTTACAAACAACGAAACGAAAAAAAAAATTATAATAATGAAATTCTCTATTAGGATAAATCTTCCCTGCCCAAAAAAAAAAACTGTATATGTATTTATTCGATATTTTTATCCGTTTCGTTGACTACCATCTCCACATTCTTCCATACATTCTTTTTCATTTTCAAAACGATTCTTGTTACCTAAAAAATTAATATTAGATAATTACTTTCTTTCTCATAAATATCAATTTATTTTACCTCCACAACCACCATAAATAAATTGTTCACATCGATTTGATGTCGTATTAAAATAATATGATTGAAACATTCCACGACATGGACCTGTTTCATATGGTAATTCACATTCAGTTGGTCTTGTACATTTGACTAGTATTATCGAATAGCATAAAACAATAAGTAATGTAATAAGTACTTTATTCATATTGCCTTTTCGATATCTAAAAGTAAATGAAATGAAAGTATCTTGAAATATATGGAATATGAATACATAAGCCAGTAAAAGAAATGGTAGGCTTATATATGATGATAATTGACTAATATCGATGTGGACAAAATAATATCGTAGATTTTTTTTTCTTGTTTTTTTGTTTTCGTCGAATAAAAGAAACGTTTGACGCCTTACTTTGATCAAATAGGCTTAAGTAAGTTAAAGAAAAAATCTGTTCTTTCTAATTAACTACAGTTGAGTCATTTTTTATTGTATGAGAAAAAAATGCTTTCTTTTTCTTGGATACATAAATGATGAATATGTTATTTCCATATATAATGTTGCGTAATTTAGATAAAATTTTACTCTTTCTACGTACAATCTTGTTTATATTACCTAAAGTAAAATCAATGAAATCCTTTTAACACTCAAATAATTCAAACAATAGTAAAATTCAGAGTGCTTCAAACCTTATACGATAACATCATAAAATCATTTTTTTTAAACAGTCAGCATAAGGACTACAATAAGGTATGCTAAATTTCGTAGATCTCCACTCATAGTTATAAGGAGTATATAAAGTAAATCTACCCACTTCTAATTTTTTTAGGCATTATATTCCATTCAACTAGAAATAATATTGACAATACCCTCACAAACTTAATTATAAATTTCATACTGATGACTCATTGTAGATATCTAATCAAACAGCAAAATCAATAGAGGATAAGATAAAGATTAAAATCATAAACATCATTACATACTTATGAATGCAAAGTAATAGCACAACTTAATCTTCGGGGGGAAAAAAATTAATAACTAATCAGGTGTATTCTTTTAAAAAATATTTCAATTCAAGATAAATCTTCTAAATAAAAATCTATCTCAATAAACAAAAATATTTTTTTCCTTTATCTCACATGACAACACTCAATTATATTCGTTTTTTACTTTGTCTAAACTAAACAAAAATATTTCATGAAAAATATCTTTTATTTCTTTTTCACAATCTATATATATATATATATATATATATTTATCTTTTCATAAGTTGTTACACATAGTGCATACAAAAGGAAAAATCCAAACAGAAAAAAAAAACCTAAAGATAGAGACACATATGAATAAAGATGAGAAATACACACAACTTGAGCAAATCTCGTAGAGACATAAAAACAAAAATTTAAAAATCAGCATCAAGAGCTAATTGATGTTCATTTACAGCATTCATAACACCAGCTCGTTGATAATCACCAACACGTTTTTCAAAAAAATTCGTTTTACCAGTTATTGATATATTATGCATAAAATCAAATGGACAATCACAATGATAAATCTGAAATTGAGAAGAAAAAAAAAATAATCTAAGATAAAAAAAAAACATCAAATTTACTTTTGAACAACCAAGTTCAATTAAAAGTCGATCAGCAACAAATTTAATATATTGTGCCATTGCTGATGCATTCATTCCAATTAATGAACATGGTAATGCATCAGTAAGAAATTCAATTTCAATATCAACAGCATCACGAAGAATTTCTTCAATACGTTTAACACTTGGTTTATGAACAATATGTTGAAATAATAAACAAGCAAAATCTGTATGTAAACCCTTAAAAAAAAACCGATTCGATCAATCCTAATCAATATTATATTAAACAAACTTCATCTCGACTAATTAATTCATTACTAAATGTTAAACCAGGCATAATACCACGTTCACGTAACCAAAAAATAGCTGCAAATGAACCACTGAAAAATATTCCTTCAACACAAGCAAATGCAACTAAACGTTCAGCAAATGGAGTTTTTTCATTCATCCAACGTATAGCCCAATCTGCTTTCTTTTTAACATAAGGTAATGTTGATATAGCATTAAATAAGATTTCACTAAAAAGAAAAAAAATAAATAAATAAAATTAATTTTTATTTTTCATACCGTTCACGTAGATCTTTAATATATGTATCAATAAGTAAACTATACATTTCTGAATGAATATTTTCAATTGCTATTTGAAAACCATAGAAACAACGTGCTTCGGGAATTTGAACTTCAGATGAAAATTTTTCTACCTAAAATTCCAAATAATAATAATAATAATAATCCATATCTAAAGAAAATTTTATTTTTAACATACTAAATTTTCACCAACAATTCCATCACTAGCAGCAAAAAAAGCTAAGATATGTTTAATAAAATATTGTTCATCTGGTGTTAAACGTAACCAATCTTTTGTATCATGAGCTAAATCAACTTCTTCACATGTCCATATTGATGCTAATGCACGTTTATAAAATTTCCATATATCATGATATCTTATTGGAAATAAAACATAACGTGATGGATTTTCACGTAAAAGTGGTTCATCAATTTCTTTTGATTTTGTATGACCATTCTCCTAATGAATGTCAAATTGAAATTAATATTTTTAATGAAGAAAAAAAACCAACGAACCATTGGTTGTTCAATATAATTGTCGAATAAATTCATATCATCATTATTTGAAATCTTTACAAATAATTTCATATATAAAATATGAAAAATTAAGAAAATGAAAAGCTTACAGTTGATATATTTGCTTCAATGTGATTTATTCCATTTGTTGTTGAAATATTAATGTCACGCATGATATATTTATATAAGATTATTTGATCTATAATAATTATTCAAAATGAATATAATTTCATTCGATCTTTCGACTATTTATATCAGAAAAAATACTAACCTCTATTATGTTTCTCAACGATTTAGTCCTTCTTAGTTTAAAAATTATATGAACCAATCAAATAAAATTGTCTTTGTCTACGTTCAGATATTCTAGACGAATCAAGAACCCACGCAAAAATGGATAGGATATATTCGTTATGAAAAATAGAGAAGTAAAGTTACATAAAATAAAAAAAGCTGAAAGTTAATAGTTATATATACTTGTTCATCTTGCATTTTAACTGTAATTGCTCAACCACTGAGAAATTACAAAATGAAAGAAAAAGACCCATGACGTCATTTATTGATTGACTTGGCACTTATCATAAAATAGAAAATAATCAAGCAGTATGTAAACAAAAAAATAAACGACATCTTTTTTATTAATTTTCATGTCAGAGATTAAAGATTAAAATAGATATGAATTAAAATGGTATTTTAATTTAAATATTAAACAAAATTAAAATAGTTTGTCTTTCTAAGCAAGAATAACTTTTCAACAAATTCTCTTTTTGTTAATGTCAAGTTCACTGAGGATGAAGTGCAATAGTCTCGAAAAGTTTATTCGGTACAGAAAAATTTGATAAGATAAATGAATAACATAATACTGTTACTATCCTGCATTATTATATCGATGTCATATTATTTATGACAGACTTCGAATATATCATTTATTCGTTAAACTACCTATGCAACGAACTAATAATTATTCGAAGACAGGCACAATGTTCAACAATACAATTTTATGTATTTAAGAGAAATAGATAAATAACAAAAAGAACAATATCGTATTTAATTAAAAGTCAGTAGATAAAATGGAGCCAAAGATTGGTAACAGTCAACGGTTTTGTCGATGTTATTTCTAACAAATAACGCATATTAAATTGCCAGTTTTGGCTAGACTTATTTTCTCGAGTTAGATTGGACCAGAACATTTGGTTCTGACGCTTAACAATAAAAAATTTTGTGTAGATTTTATTAATATGTTCTTTTTGAAATAAGCATGTACCACCATTTTATAGGTTAAAAAGTATTGGATGCCACAAAAACATCACTTGCTAAATATTGAATTCAAAAAAAAAATGATAAAAACCATTTTTACCCTGCTAGATGGAGTTCAAAAATTATTCGCTTGTAATCAGTGACGTAAACTTTTTGATATATATCATAGAGTTTTGCAGGACAAACATTTTTTTCCAAATGTCCCACGGGACGAATCAAAAATAATTTTTCTGCATTCGAGACTACCCTACAGGACTCTGGTATATCGTGATATGTTCGGTTTGATCAGCTAATCTTACTTATTCTTTGAAAAGTAGAAAATATTAACCAGACGTTCACAAGCCAGAGAATCCAATTTTTCTTAAGGAATTTTCTCAGAGCTTAGTCTTACAAAAATCTATTCTTTTTATATAAATAGATGCAGAATTTCAAGCTCTACAAAATGCTCACCTTTTAAAAGGACTGACCTATTTTCTAATCAAATGAGAAAGTTGAAATATTTCCATCGATAGGAAACTGTACGAAAAATGGATAATTAAGCCTATTTTGTGACTAAAAAACAAAGGCATGTTTATACACTGTCATAGTATGTTTGAATAGTAAATACAAAATTATTGAACAAATAAAAGTGACACTTTATTCTATTCAAAAATGCTGAACAAGCGATGTTTCTCAAGAATCTAATACATTTTAGTCTACACAATCATGGTACATGCTGATTTAAAACAGAACATATCAATAAAAACTTTACAACATTCTTCATCTTTCAATATCATAGCTAAACTTTCAAGTCCTATTTAACTCGAAAAAATAGTCTAGCAAAAATCTTTACTGACTAGTATGACAAAATTCAATGATATTGAGTATTTTATTTTTTTTTCTATCTTATCTCATGTTTGCACAATCTGTCATAAAAAGAAGAAAATCACAAGGAGTAAGTCACTCACTTCCTCTCTTTGATTATTTCCTATCTCTTAATTTTAGAACTTAGAAAAATTTGTTTTTTTCAAATGGTACTCAAGAAAGTAATGAATTTCGAAAGAAATCAGATACTATGACAATTATGAAGTTTTCATCATGGACATAAATGAAGTTTTATAAGAGATGATTTTTTGAATATCATAACCATATTTTTATCAGATTTTCATTGCTTGATTATTACTTTTATATTTGTAACAAAGTCACTATGTCATCTTATGTATGAATCGGTGTTTTATGCATATGTAAAATGTTGGCTTCATAATATTCTCCTAGCGAATTCAAGATCTTGACTACTTTTCATTTTTAAAATATGACAATTATATTGATAATCTTTATAACTTATTTTCTATTCATAGTTTCTTTCACTGATGGAATATTCATTCTGTTCTGGTCCTCATAAATTGATCTTCTATTTCAAAATTATGATAAAACAGTCAAATCATTCTTAAGATATGATAGATAAATGTCAAATATTCAAGACAAACTTCGAATAATAACTTTTATATTTACTTCAATTAGATCTTCACCCATTCTTTACCATTGCTTTCTCTCGTTAAACACAAAACAAACTTAGACTATACTAAAGATTCATTACGTCATCTTGATTTTCCTATTTCAAAAGTTCAACAGTTCGAGAATTGTAACTTTTCATTATTAGAAAGTTGAAAGATCATTCTCATATTAAAAAAACAAATATCTTTACAAACAATCCTATAACTGATCTTTTTAAAATACAGATGAAGACCAAGTAATAAAAACTTAGTGTGATTAATCTTAAAAGTTCATTTTTTATAGACTACTCTTTTAACTCGTAACTTTAAAATATCATCTCGATACAAATAATTGTGAAGATTATTAAGTATCTTTATTAATATATCGTAAATGAATTGTATTTTATACTCAAACAATCTATTCCAAAAATAATCATTACTTTCCGTAAGAACATTGGCACAAAGTTCTTGTCTTTCTACAACTAAATTAATTAGATATTCATTGAATAACAATATGAATTCATTCAATTGGTATTCAATGATTAATGACAAAGTTTGAAGTAACAATTTGGTCAACAAAACACCAACTAAAAATCAGTGATTTGATAATAGGATAACAAAGAATCTATCTATGATAATTAACAATATATTCAAAAAGTAATTCATAATTAAGGTCACAAGTACTTGAATTTGTTCCATCAAATTGAATACATGGAATGTGCGAAATGAGCAATGATGATGACGAATAATAAATGAACGTAAACTATGTTGATATATCATTTGCTCAAAAATAAACGTACGTATGGAAGATCTCGTACTGGTAAAATATTCGAACGCTGAAATTTGAGAATTTATTTCGTATTGATTTCAGTTAAATGAATTCTATTTGATCCGAGAAAATTAAAAAATAATTATTCATGACAATGCATTATTTTAAAATATTCAATATTTTAAAAATAGTATGAGGTTAATCAATTGAATCTCGAACATAGTTTTGATCTCCTAAGAAAGTTTCTAGTTAAAGAAAAAATAAATTCGTAATCAATTGGAAGTGCATGTTTCAAAATAACTTATTCTCCGTATTCTTGTTATACTGAATATCTTTTCGTAACAAGACAAAATCTAGTAGAATTGGCACTTAGTCAGTATTATTCGTCGCAGCAGAATAAACATCAGACTACTAGTGGTTATCTATAGTTTTAGCTCTATTCATTTCTATTCCGGACTGATTGCGTTTTGCCGTCATAGTCAGTTCACATACACTAGAAGGTTCTATAGCTACTCCGAGAATATTAGACAACAAATTTTTTGATAACATCGAATATTTAGAAGGTACGACATCATATAATGAAAATCACGAACATGTTGAAAGAATTATGTATTTTCAAACGAAGTAATAAAGATTTTTCTATCTCTTATCGCAAGCTGTTCTGATATTGCAAAATAAGTTATACAAGATGAATAAAGATACTTATTAAGAACGTATATTCTTTTCAATTCATTAATAAATTTACTTGACAAACTGTGATAAACGAGAATGTATTCACAGCATACCCCGTATCTTTTTATTAAACTTTTTCAGTTCTCTAATAGAACTTTTACATGCAGAAACATGTCAAATATCGTATATAT